TTTATATTATTTAGCTTTGGCATAAGTTACCCAGAGTATCAGCTTCTTTTCAAGTAAGCTTTGACGATCTTCAGCAAAATTATGGTTTAATGACTCTACCGCGATGGCATTTGTTCCTCCAATCAGAGAGCAGAGATAAAACACGCTTGTACATATGATAGTCATTGAAAAATCAACGATCGATCCTAATTGGCTCGGAAAATTCAAAGGATCGTTGCTCATCCTAGTAGAAGCAAAGCAAGCGAATGTAAAGGGTAGGCATTAGTATTTCATTGAGGTGAATAAACGACGCATTGAATATATTGTTTAAGAAAATATAATGTATATCCAAAATTTGCTACCATGGGTTGTTAACACACCAACTGTTGTAAATATGTACAATCAAAAACGAGACTGTAAATTGAGATAATTATGTGTGGATATGCTCTTGTTAACTGGCATTGACTCATGGGCAATGAGCAACACAAATTAAAAATCCATGCTTAGCTGCCTTATATTATCATCATTCACTCATTATTCATTCATTAGGCTATTAGCATGGGATCCAAGCAGGGCACGCCTTAAGCGTCGGACAGCCGGACTTGTCCGATTAAATAATGACAAGACCGGCTCTAAATCACAATTAGCCGGTCATTGTGACCGAGACCTTGTCCAATCTATAACCCTTAGCGTAGATATCGTGTCCGAGGCCTAAACATTTTGAGATGACCCTTAAACTGTTGCCTGTTCATTTGTTTTTTATCTCCCCTTTCCATGAAAATCAATCTACACGTATAACGACATGATAAATTATAATCGATAGGGAGTTAAAGTTTTAAATAGAACAGCCTCATTTAGAATGCTTATTTAATTCTCGTCTCGGAGAAAAAGCCGAACATCTCCAAATATAGTAATCGGAAAGTACCGAATCACAAATAGATACTTCCGGTGATCTCCAAATAAGGAGTTCTTGACCCGAGTTCATCTAAAGATGGCGAAACCACTCCAAAAGTATGGATTCATATTCATATTTAGTTTTAAAACTGATTGTGCCAAGCGTAATTCTTAAGGTACGTAAAAAACTAATCGATTATAGTACTTCAAGTACTACTTATGGATCAAATAGACGTAGCGATTTCGGCCATTTTCAGTGAAATATTGCACAATAGTACGACTTTTCACAGATCAATTTTTGAAAATAGCGCGTTGAAAATTTTGACCAGGAAGATTTGCTCATGACGGCAGATTTTGGAGAGGTGTTGGTCATCTTGACCAGCAGGTTTTGTATTTGACCACTTAAAAATTGGATCTTGCCGGTCATCTTGACCAGCAAGGAAAATTTGCTTAAGGCATGCCCTGGATCCAAGTCCTTTGAACCAGCCATATTTTAGGATCCGACACAAAACACTAGACAATTTTTGAGAGAACATTTTTATTATCCTAAAAATTTGTTGTACAATATCATAAAAATCACCATCTTAACCAATTGAAATAGATACAACTGTTTGTAAGTCAAACTGTGTCAACTTTTTAAAAGTGATAAACTTGCCTTCCTAAATTCAAAAACTGTATTGACATTGTTCTGTAAATACACCCCAACAGATATGCCAAAGAGGAGCATTAGTAACGAGAGGGTTTATTGTCTGAACTTGTCTAAGATGCATTTTCATTGCTCTTGAGACAGAATATAGAGATATCAATTTAATATCAATAATAGCATTCAGCATATAGTATGAGTATTCAATGCTTTACTTTTACATGTAGAATACAATTACCATTTGAAATATCTTTTATTTCAAAATAGCAATAAAAAGAATATTAAGCAAAGCTAAAGATATTGGTGTCAGGTCTTAAAATGCCTGATCAATACACAAGCTATAAAATACATTTTCCTTTCCCTCTACCATGCAAATTTGTCACATCAGTTCGCACTGGATTCTCATTTATATGAGAACATATACATTCAGGTTGAAACATCTTACGACAAATCACAATAAACCATTGGAGAATGTTGAATGTTGAACAACAAGAATGCAGTGACATCCAACAATATATCAATCGATAGCAGTGTTCAATTTTATATTTACATGAATTCATACTATAGCTAGTATTCTTGTATAATTAGCCTGATCTATTCTACTTCTGCGAGAATTTTTCTTCTTTTGATGCAATGGTTATGATCAAAGTATATTTCATACAATCTATTCAATCAATTCTATTGAACATCTATCTCACATTATCAATTGATACAATGTATAATTGTATCAATTTTACCAAATTTAGCAGTGATATCAAATATATGGGAATAACATGTAAAGACTTAAACAGTTTACTAATCATAAAGATTTTCTTATCTCATATAAGAAGAGTAGAAGACTGAATCTTTTGAATATGTTATTGTATCTTTGTACAAGTATATGCTCCCCAGGGTAGTACCCATATATATGCAAGGGACTTAGAATAAGATAAAGGCATTTTATCCTGCATTTTTCAAATTTTTAGATGTTATTCCCAGATACAAGTTTCATAGTACTGCCATGTGGGAAGGGTCTAACTGGTGAAGAACTCTAGGAGCCTCTAGCTTCAGTACCAGATGATGCTGATAAAAAATAACTAAACTGGATGGTAGAATAGGGGTTTGTCTGCAAATATGCAATCATGAATCATTATGTGTTGTTATGTGTTATGTGTTATTTACAATCATACTGGTAATTATTGTGTTGGCCTACAAGTTCTAATATACAGGTATAAACAAATGACTTCAATTTACTAGATTTTTAATAAAATAGGGCAATAATTATTAATAATATTTACAATCAAGGGTGGAAAAGACAAAAGACAATGCAGCTTGATTCGTGCCTGTACATTTGCAGTTAATATCCTATTCTACCATCTCCTAAAATCAGTTGACCAGCAACATCTAGAACTGATGCTAGAGGCTCTCAAGGTTCTTGAATAACAGACCTATGCCCTTAGTGTCAATTGTATATCACCCTATAGCTAGTATTCTACAACAACATTGGTAGACATTTGACAGTTACAAAACATTAAAATAACTATAACTAACTATAATGTCCACTGGCAATATTCCAAAACATTAAAATAAGTATAACTAACTATAATGTCCACTTACAAAAATTACGAATTCATCTGGGACATTAGTAAAGAGAACACTGACATTCATTTTTGTTATTCCTATTCAATCACATTTCAAACTCATGATGTCACAAAGATTTTTGACAGTCACAGGTCCTACTGACCTAAACTTCGAAACAACTTAGCTGTGAGGGTTGATCAGAAATTTCTGAACCATGAGGTCTATTTTCTTCAATTTCTATTCAATATTCCTGATTTTCTCTCAGAAACCAGGGACATAGGGATTATTCAAGGTGAATTTCATTGTTCTATGGCAAGAAAATTTTATTTTTAATTGTCAAGAAGTCTTTCTAGGTTCTTTATTCATTTCAAATACAACCTCAATACTGAAGCAATTTAAACAGTCCCTCTCCAGGTGCTTTCTTACTTTTGTGATAGTCATTGTGATTCTGACACACCATTATCATTGAAGAAGCCATTTTATCATTGAACAGTGCCTTGACAGACAAAGAGTAGTTCTGTGTAAAACTGAATAAAAGCAAACAAGAAACCCTCCAGGATATTAGAGCTACTTTAGGAGAACAAGCAATGAGCAGACAGAGGGTGTATGAGTGGCACACCAGATTTTGAAAAGGAAGACAAGCGTGGAGTTAGATTTGAGGAGAACACCGATATTATCCAGGAGTTCACCAGAGTGTGCAATGATGTTGGAAAGGATGGTTTTCAGAATGTGATTGGGGACTGGATCAAATGCAATAAAAATTTTACTGAGCACAAAGGAAATTATTGTGAAGGGACTGATGTAGGGGAATAGCTCTCTACTGTAATGCAATAAATTAAATAAATACATCAAAAATTCACTATTTTTCTAAAAAATTATCTTTAGCAAATCTACCTTGATGTGTCACCAATTACCATAGCAACCACATCAATACATTAATGATGTCGTAAAATAATGAAATCCATATGGAATGATCCTTAATGTTCAAGGTTTATTTGTGAAAAAATCAGGGAAACTGAATAGAAAATAAAGAAAATAGAGAAACTTCTGATCACCCCTCATATAACTTCCAATAGCTATAAATTTACCTAAACATTGGAATAACTAACTTCAATCATAACTTCCACTAGCTAAAACTCAATTCAACTTGGTCAATGGTGAACATTATTTTTTCTTATTCCTATTTTATCAGATTCTCTTAATGACATAGGCTTTAAGCCTTTTGATAGCAACAGGTCATACTGACCTAAACATTGAAATACAACTATAACTGTAACTTCCATTAGGTATCCCAATCCATCCATATCCAAATAATTATTCTAACTTATCCTATTTTATCAGATTTCTATAACTTTAACTACATAGTATGCTTCCACAAGCTATCTCAATCCATCACAAACCATAATTATAACTTCCATGAGCTATCCCAATCCATATGTATCCAAGAAATATTCTTATTCCTAGAAATTTAAGTGCTGACAACCCCTCTCAATGGTGAGATGTGTAAACCACATACTTGATCACTGGTGAGATGATGACCAATATTGCCTAGACTCAGAAGGTGATTATTATTGTATGCTCATAGGTGGTCACTGTATGGATGTTGGTCCAATCTGACTATGTAGTGAAACTTAAGTCTCTCCACATTGACAATAAGAATCTGGAGATAACTTAAATATTATAAGTTACCATGGTAACATATTTCTGGAAGTCTGTTGGCACTAATCACATGTTTTTTCCACATAAAACTTGGAGGCTAAAATAATACATCACCACTTGGCATCATACTAAGGCTTCTATGTTCATGGTAAGTTGTATGTATAAAATGGTCCCTTGATTACCAACAAAATCAACCAAACTATTTAATAATATTGAAAGTATATAGTCTTGCTTCAACTATGTAGACCAGTGAACTGGACAAATGTCATATCATGTCAGTGAGCACAAAGTCTTCACCGTTTTCCAAGGCATCTTCCATGAACTGTTCTGCTTCATAGTGGGTGCTGTGTTTCACATCCATGTAGATCTTCACAAGGGTCTCAGGAAAAAGAACTTTCATTACATAGTCCAGAAGAGTGAAGTTTTTCTTGCAGAACATGGCCATTAATTGTTCCATCACAACATCATGCTGCTCTTCATGGAATATACCCAGCCTCACTTGGTAGGTCAGGTCAACTGCAAATATTCATTATAAAACACACTTTTAAATAAGACAAAATCACCTCCTCTGTGACCATCTTAGACCATAAATGAAATGTGTGGTGTATCCATCTTCTACCAATGAAAACTACTTCAAGTAAAATTTCAAACTCCTTATGTGTTTGATTTGCTCAAACAGCAAACCCTTTCCTTAGTTACGGCAGTGTAGTCATAGAATGGAAAAGCTGAATCAATATTTCAATTTTAAATTTAATTAATATTTCAATTTTAAAAACTACTAATAAAGATCGTAGTTTATATCAATTTCTTACAGATGCAAAAGTTCCTAAAGTTAAATATTTCTACATCATCTAATCTAACAATGGATATCAAGATGTAATAGTAAGAAAATAACATAATGAGGGGTTCCTTACTTTACTTAAGTTTCTATATTTTACTTAACTTAAGTTTACTATATGCTTAGAACATGCAAAAATGACCTTATTGTACAAAGAACGTAGTGTACTCTCCATTATGATTTCCCCATGAAAAAAATTAATTACCCAAATGCGAGAAGGTAGTTACTAGTTTCACCACCAGGTGGCTGATTTGGGTCAATTAACATGGCAGGTATATAAGGAAGTTCCCTTAAACTTGAATATTATCAATTCTAGTGGCCCAATTTTCATATAACCCATATGTGTCTGATACTTATACTAATGAAAATATGTCCAGTAAAGCAAAATATTATCTGTCCACTAAAAGAAAAGATATTGCATCTTTTGTGATTTTATAGCATAGGGTCCATGGGGAATCTCCCCGAGCTAGAAATCACATTTTCAAAGAAAATTAATTTTTCAAAGTTGATAAACACTTTTTAAAACCACATTTCTAGATGTAATTTTACATGTAGATTTCAAAAATGATATTATATTGACTGAATTTTGAATTTTTAATGACGTAAATCAAGATTATTTCTTCTCGCATCTGAGTTATTCATCTGATTTTTCAAAATGAATATACTGCTTTTATTATTACATTTATATGTACACTAGTATCTTGTTGACCTATACTCAGCTTTGTATTGATGAATGGGCCACTTACTATATGCAATATGTCCTTTACCATTTGATAAATGACTATTATCTTTATGGCTTGCAACTACTGTATGTCAATATTCCATGTGTACCTGTTCTATAGTTTGATTTTGCTCTTTTTAAGAAACTTAATCTTCATTACAAGTAATATCTGCACTTCAAGACTATGCCATAATAGTACTGCTGCACAGAGATACTTGTGTGTTTGAAAATCATTTTCTCAATAGACAAGGATAAAATCAGCAAATATATTTCGGCTAAGAGTATGTAATATTTGCCAACCCTGTATACAGGTACAGCTAACAGAAAACATGATTTGTAGCAGGTATTGTGCAAGTACTATGTTATTCTGGATTTTGGTGTAAATTAGGACAAAAATAATGAAACTGAATTGTTTTCTAAGTTGGTATTGTAAGGTTTTAGTAAAATGCTTGCTTACCCCTAGCCTTGCCGCCTTTCTTGTAGTCTTCATGTCTTCTGTTGTAAGCTTTCCCCTGGTAGATGTTTCGCAGATATTTTTTGTTATCTTTCAAAAGGTGACATAGTTGGTCTCGTGTTAAATCACAAACTTTGCTATAAGTAGACAAATACAATCCTCTTATATATACAGGGTGGCCCAAAAAAAACGTCCACATTTTTATTTTTTTAATCTCTTTACTGATATGTTAGAAATATCAATAAATTATATATATTAGAAAGATAATTCAATTTCCAACAAAATGATGTATGATTCATAAAATATGAACGACTATTGGTGACTTCAAGGTAATTTCCGCACCATGAGGTAGTAATAGTCGAAAACAAGATTTTGCTACATGTTTTGAGCTTATTGCATAATATTGCATTGCTTAATCAACACTTTTAGACTTTTATATAGGAAGAAAAAATCTAGAGTTGAGTTTTATTGTTTGTAAATCATTTTGTAGCTCTAAAATAATCATGGAACCTATTTTTATGTATTGTAGTTCATTATAAAGTTAGATTGTTAGATGCATTGAGATTTGCTTCACATACGTTTTGCAAGAAACTCAGTTGAAATTTTGCTCTGACCCATGATATAGAATAAGTTTCCATTATTTCCTCTTCTGGTGTATATAATTGAATTTTCTGCCATAAACAATGTAAGTAGAGTTAAGTACTAAAAGTACAACATCATTATTGACCATTTCATGATAATTTTAGCCGTAAACAGGCATTATCTCCAAAATGTCTTGAAAATGAGTAAATATTCAATTATGTGATACAGTCTCCACTACATTATTTAGGCTATATTACCAATACCTATTAACATGGTGAAGGAACTCAATAATATTGTATTTATAAATCAATTTGCTTTAATTTGATATATAAATCAACAATTTTGAACTTCTATTATTAGAATTATATCCCCAAAGCTTACATAGGGGTTATATCTGCCTGGTCAGTTCTTAGCATTCTGTATTCAGCAATTGGTAAATCATGATCTTGACCCCTGTGGTAATTGAAATGTTATTTCAAGACAAATACTCATTTATGTGAAAGGAATTGTATATCATTTTGTTGGAAATTGAATTGTCTTTCCAATGATGTGTGATTTAAACACATTTCTGTAATATTAAAATTGTTGTGGCAAAAACAAAAATGTGGACATTTTTTGGCCCACCCTGTATATATCAACTAATGACATGAATGGTAATATGCATTAAATCACTCATGGCTTCGGAACCAGAAATATTAGTCTTCAATTTATTACTCACGTCTCTTGCTTTTGAGAAACACTTTTAGACATACATTTTACAAAGATATCAAAATCTTTTAACATTGTAAGTCATACATAAACAGTTCATCAACATACGAGTTCATACTCAATAAGCCTCCATTTGGAAAGTTCCATAAGTACTTACTTCACTTTGCTTAATACATCAGGCGTATCCTCTTCATCATTAATCACAATACATGTAGTATCATCATTGTCATTCACCATTTGTGCATTGTAGCCATGGTCTTTTGAGTTCAATTTTATAGGATTATTATCCATGGATGTTTCAGTTCGCTTTTTAGTAATGGTTGGGCAGTGTAAGGATCTTTCAAGAAGATTTGCGGCACTAAAGCTCTGTTTATGATGAGAATTCTAGTGATTGATTTCTGCAATGAAGTTCAAATTTTTATTAATATTATTTGCAATGTCTGCTTTAAGTCTAACTCAAAAGGTGCTTTGAATAATAGGAGCTTTGAAAACTTGAATGATGCCACAAATAAACTAGAAGATAAAATCATTCAAACCCATCGTAAAATTAATCTGCAGTTTCTTGGATTTCGTATGTCATGGGTTTAAGCAGGCCAACTAGTTCAAAAATTCTTTTACAGCCCAATGTTTTTATTTTGGCTAAGTTTTACTCTGGTCAAATTCATTGAAGAGGAAACATCCAAAGGTAGAATGGCCTTATTATTATAAGGAGAGTATGATTTTTATGGAGTTGTTGACTGACCCAATGTTCCGTATTTACATGTATTACACTTTTATGTTTTATTGTAAATGTCTACCATAGTCAAAAAGATGTTGGACAAATAGCCAAGACATTTTCAAGACATATAACCAAACTCTTAAAAAATGGTCCAAGACAAATAGCCAGGACATTTTTGGACATCTAGCTTAGTGTCTAACTGTAAGAACTATATATAGCCAAAAAGATCTCAGACAGGTACCCAAGACATTTTCAGGACATCTAACAAAAATTCTTAACTTTACATTTTAGACTAAAAATGATCCAAGACAAATAGCCAGGACATTTTTGGACATCTAGTTTAGTGTCTATCTGTAAGAACTATATATAGCCAAAAAGATCTTAGACAAATAGCATTTTCAGGACATCTAACCAAACATTTAACTTCAAAAAAAAAGGGTCGGGACAACTAGCCAGGACATTTTCAACGTTTGGTATGGTAATGGACCCATATTTTAGGATTTGGTATGGGAATGCCCTGAAATTTCTGATTTCTGAGGTATGGCAATGGTCGGCTTTTTGCTTTTCTGGTATGAGAATGGTCGTTGGAGATACATTACTTCACATTTGTGGTATGGCATTAGTCCAGTTGTTGCAACTGTCCTAAATGTGAAGTTGTTTTGGGTCGTTTGGTATGGCATTGGTCGCATATTTGGACATTTGGTATGGCATTGGTCCTACATTTTGATATTTAGTATGGCATTGGTCCCATATTTGGACATTTGGTATGGACTTCCGGCGTTATTTTGGCTGGTATGGGAACATATTGAAATTTAAGAGATTGGTATGGGAACATATTGATATCTGAGGGTTCAGCCTAGGTCCCCCGCAGAATTTTATATACAGTGAACCCCCCGGGATCCCAAGGCTTCTTTAGTTTGAATATTAGCTTTTCACCCTTAACGTATGACAATGGTCCTATATTTGGACATGTTGTATGGTATTGGTATTTGGACATATGGTATGACATTGGTTTTATACTTGGACATTTGGTATGACTTTTGGGCATTATATTGGTTGGTATGGGAACACCTTGAAATTTGACAGATTGGTATCGAAATATATTGATATCTGAGGTTTCGGCCTACATGTAGGACCCCTGTCAAATTTTGAATACAGTGAACCCCTGGGATCTTTTCTTGTACTGAACAGTCAAATTATTTTACAGAACATATTCTAAATAGTTCATTTATAAAGGTTGAAAATGCAAGATAGAACTGACTTACTAAATCTATTCAATGAAGTTCAGTAGAACTTTTTCTATGTCTCCCATCTTGCCCTATTCCGTAATATGGGGGATCAAAATGTTTTCTAGCTTCAATTTTTTTTGTTTGATAAGAATGTCAAATTCCTGAGGGACAATTTCAAGAAACCATGACATCAATAATATAATTTTAATCCAATGTGGATGTACACCATTGATTTTAATATGTAAGGGATTTAATATTGCATGCTTCTTTAAAGTCATAACTGTGGTTTGATATAACAGATACACTGTACAATTTCTCTGAAAAAATAATGTTCATACATTAGAATAATGTACTTGTGGTAAGATTTTTTAATTTTTAAAATTATTTTTCCTGCCCCTGCCAGGCCCCCCGACAGCCTCCCGGCACAATTTCCACCACAAACTGCCCCCAAAATCTCCCCTTGTCACAACCCCGGCACTTTAATAATGCCGACCCCGTCAACCCTGCCGACCCCAAAATTCTTTTGTTTAGCCCTAGGCAACTGCCCCCAAATGCCCCTGACAGCAGACCCCGGCCTATGTTAAATTCCCATTGAGAATTTTTTTCGCCCTTGGCAAATTGACAACCCCTGGTCGCCAGCAAACCCCAGAGCTTTTTGCAAGGGCTATAACATGACCATTGAAATAATTTCACAAGCTTGGGTGTAATACAGTTCCTTGTGTGGGAATCAATATACTTGCATTTGATAAAAATGACCATTTTTCTATTTGTTATGGAAATTCATACTCATTACATCTTTAACTGACTTATTCTTTCTCATTTATTGTTAAAGTTCTTATAAATCATTGGTGATTTATGCATAAATCATAAAATTATGGGAATGTTCTTACCTCACATGTGTGTTAGAAGCCCTCCATCTTGTTTCTTAATTCAATTGACCAATGAAAACAAAGATTACAAATATGCAAATTTGATAAAGATATGAGGTCTCTGATTGGTTTTCAGTGAATGCTCCTTCTCCAATCATAATCTAGTACAGAGATGTAATAGAGGAGGGAAATTTGAAAATTTTGTAGAGTCATGGACAAATAATGGACATAGTCCATTTATGGACACTTAGACACTTCTTGTGTGGCATTCCCTGAAAATCCAAAATACCACAGTAGATGGGTTTTTACATCCATTGAGAGATTTTGTTGTGTGGATAACCACATAAAAAAATTAACCACAGAAGCTATTTATTTTACTACCCGAACAACCACACATACCCCCATTCAAGAACACGGACGTACGTACGGACGGACGTACGTACGGACGGACGGACGGACGGAGGCGTTCCCTATATCCCTCCGAACTTCGTTCGATGGGATAACAACTGAAGTTTTATCTATTATATTCTGAAGTTTCAGCATCAGACATTAATATTAAGTCTCAATATGGTTGCTATAACAACATGGGGGTAGGGGTGGGCGGGGCAGGCACCAATTTTTCAAATCGTGAAAAGATCTAAAGTGTAATTTTATTAATATTTCTTTCCTTTAAATGGTCAAAATGTTTGGGAAATTGTTAAATTTATTCAACATGATGTTAACCAAGTACAAATAATGACATTTAGCACTGTGATGTCATAATACCATATTTCAATAGTCACGAATTCAAATACAGTCACAGTCAAGAAATTGCAAAAATGGCTGCAATTCTTACCTGATAACAGAAGGCCTTGCCTTTTGTGGCCTAATTTCATACTTCACTTGGACTCACAGCCATGCAAAACAATGCTACCATGAAGAAAGCATATAAGGAGTATATACCAGATAGAACTACAATTATGGGGTGGCAGAATAGATTTAAAAGAGACTATTTGACCCTGGATGACGACTCCAAACATGGGAGGGCAAAAACTCCACAAGTCACAGTGGAAAAAATTGCCAAGAGTGTTTGACCTGACAGGCATCAAAAGTACATAACATGCAAAGGGCAATATTTTGAGAAAATGTGAAATGGGACACTGTGCAATATACATCCATTTAATCTAGGATGTGCACATAGTAATTTAGTATCTCAAACATGTATTTTTGAGCATACTTCTTACAGCTACACAAAATGGTATTTGTTGATTAATGATTTCATATTTTCAATTTTTTATTCCTTTTGACGTGACTGTATAACCTGCCCCGCCCTACCCAAACTCACCAACTTGATTTTATCATAACATCAATATAGTTTTATCAGTCAACATGAAATTTTTCAGAATGATTAAAATATCTCTAAGGAACATTTACTGAAAATTTCAGGGAAAAATATCAATTATTGATAAAGTTAGAGCATATAGTGCATTACTTCTGGGACAACCCTCGTACATAGAGAGATCTAAATTTTGTAGAGTTTTATTTTAAAATACTAAAATTCTAATACATGGTCCACTTCAAATGTTTTTTACTGACATTTTTCAAACCAAAAGTGTTTTTGTGATTTTGATACTAATACAAATAACTTTATACATTAATACTTTTCAGCCATTGTTTTCAAATTCCTAGAACGTTTTGGAGTAGAACAAGTATTTTTCTATAAGTGTTTAAAGTTCTTGATAGTTCTAAAACTCAGAAACAAGCTTACTTTCACGGTGTTTCTGTTAATATGTTTGAAAACTAATATTCTAAAATGATCATAACAATACAAATCATTCCAATGATATTAGACAGGCGATATGGCGATTGTGCAATATCATGATAAAATATGATGATATAATTATCAAATAAAATATTATTAGTATATGTATATTATTAGTATATCCATATTATTAGTATATACATATTATTAGTATATGCATATTATTAGTACATTTGTACAGGGTGGGCCAAAAAAAACGCCACTTTTTTTTCAAAATGCTATAACTTTTTTAATTTTTGATACAAAATCATAATTTGCATACCAAATGAAACTTGAAGTTGTTATCTAGCCATGGATCATGAATTATACACTTTTACTTGAATAAATCATGTCACCAGCCTCTCAGTTAAACATGTGGTGTGCCATGACAAATAAGCATAATTTGCAAAATGTTGCTGAACTGATACGGCCTGATGACAGCCAATCTAATAGGCCTGATGCAAGCTCCAGTGAGTATAGGGTATGGGAATGTCTCCAGGAGATAGTATTAAGGCACCCAATCCAAAAAATTGCTCAACTAAAGCCGGCAATCAGGACAGGTTGAAAAAAACTTCGCTAACATTTCATTGATACTGCTATATCAGCAAGGCGACTAAAACTAAAATCGATCATCAAATAGGGTGGCGGACCATTTGAACTCCTCTTTTAGATCAAATATAATCCATGCTGAAGGACTTGTTACATTATATTATTGCTAAGAACCCCTGGCACTATATAACTGCAAAATTTGGGGTATGTAGGTTGGAAAATAAAAATGTTGTAGTGTCTTGAAAAAAAAGTGGCGTTTTTTTTGGCCCACCCTGTATATGCGTATGAAAACAAAGAAAAACAGTTTTATGGTATTCTTCTAATTTTATTATTTAGATGATGACGGGGCCGGAGAAGAGGGTGGTTCGAGACTACATAGTTCTATGGGACGACACACTATGGGGACCCCTTCTACTCATCCTATGCCAGATAGTAAGTTATTTGAACATCATTTGTTTATAACCACACTGAGTTCTGATTTTTTCATCTTTTTTAATCAATAATACAATTATTTTAATCAAGATTTTAGTCAACTTATTAATGTAATGTCTTAAATAATACAGTACCAACTACTTTTTTTTATCTTCATGTAACTGTATCTTAAATGGACGCACCAATTTTTGTGTGCCGCTGTTGTCCCTGCAATATGGCCACAAAGGTGCATTTTAACACAGGTAAAATTAATTTTGACATACCCCTGGGTGTCATAAACTAAGTGTTTTAATATCGAAATTAGAGAGATCAAAATTAGAAATAGAAAAAAGCACTCTGAATGTGGATCATGACAATTTCAGGACAAGTTTAGTCTAAACAATCCATTCTGCTTATAATGTAGATTACATGACAGACCTAACAATGATTCGAACACTTTTTATCTTTTATCCACTAATATACTATACCTTGATGTTTGGTTTCACACAGCAACGTTCCTTTCCTCGTAAATTATTCATTGCAATCCACCAGTGATTTAGCAATTGGAAAATATCAACATGCCAATGGTAAAAAATAAAAATCGGCAGTTTCATTTTTTTAGACTAGTTCATGTGGATGATAGACAAATACCTTATATAATATCTGTTTTAATTTACCGGTTGTGCTGAGCTGAACATTTCTACATCTTTAAATCCATAATATTAAATCGGTAGTTTCATTTTTTTAAACTGGTCGATTTTCATGATAAGCCTAACTAATAGCCAAATATGATGTCTGTTTGAAAATGTCTTAGTTTTGCTGAATTTGGACATATCTATATCTTAACATCATATTGTTCAGGTTTTTTCAGATTTTCTTTGTTGTAATTATTACATAATGAAGTGCCATGAATTTTTCATGAGGAAAATGCTTCCAACATAAGTTATGATTACACATACATAGGTTAAAATAATGCCCAGTTAGGACAGTTCATTAACAAAATTCCCCAGTTTATGTTGGGAGAAGCAGTTTTAAGGCCTAAAATTATTTGGGGCCCACCAAAAGGGGTGGGTGGAGGCAGTCCACTCGGTATTGTTTCTATTGATGCCACTTTCAATTTTCACTTCAAACAATAAAAAAATATTTTCTTGAGCTAAATGAACTTAAGTACCCCTGAGTTACCAGTTTACATGGGTGCAGATTTAACATGTAATTCTTCAAAATATCTGACATGAAGCGAATGACATTAAATATGAATTAATCCATTATGGTGTATAGAACTATTTAATGAAATTACGATATTCAGGTAGAATAAATGCTGTTTTGTGAGCATTATGTGATAAAATCTCATATTTATAGCTATTTGTTGTAGATAGCATATTCTTGAATCAGATAGCTCAAAGGAGGTATCTTCCCAAGTGCCCTGAAAAAGTTCATGTGGTCCGCATTGACCATTCATTCGTTTAGAAATCACTGGGGGATGTTGCACATTTTTATTGGTTTTTGAAACAGAATCAAATCCTGAGAAGTGTCAAGGGCTTATTTGAAAATTCAATTAATTAGAATCTGGCTCTATCCTCAAAAGTCTCGAAATTATTTTTCTTCAATATTCCAAATTATAATGGGCCAATCACAGAGATGAATGTAAGTAGTAGGGTAACATAAATAAACTGATACACTCGGATATTTAGTAACTGGAAAATTACTGATATATCAAATAACAAAATCAGTATGTATTCTTTTCTTTATTCTGTTCTGATTAACCATCTGCAGAGATAACGGGCAACATAGATGAACTTTTACACTGGGAGAATGGTGTGCTTTGGGAAATAACACAATCAGCATGCACACTTTATTCTGTTGTTAGGTTATAATACTTATGTATCATATGCAATTTTATCAGCATAAACTCATGTTACTTATTAACAGTAAATAATCTCTCACATACCGAGGAATGCAGAACAATAAAATGTCTAGAATTATGATAGTCTTCTCATAAACACAGGCATTTGATGATAAAGCGAGTCACGAATCAGTCCTGAATGGAAAATATGTAGAAAATGAATATTACATACCTGTATAATATAGAAAGAATATTACTTTAAAGAATGAGGAAAGTTTATGCGATATAGCTGATTTTAAGGAGATGATTTTTAATGCCTAAGGATAGAAGAAATAGAAATATAAAAGCAGTGATATTCTAATTGGATATCAGAAAATTACCGGTCAAAAGTATCAGGTATCTGGTATCAATTAGAAGATTCACCTCATGTATCTACCTCAATCGAAATTAACTGAAAAGATATATTATGTTGATATATATTGGATGAACTTTATTGTATATAATAAAGAGTACTTGGACATAAGAATTTTGGATTAAAACTTAAGAGGAATGACACACACCATACATGCATAGTTGCATGACCTCCACTGCTGCTAGTGAATAATCTGTATTGGCAAGCCATACTTTATTCACACTTCCAAATATGGCAACTTTATTCAATCACAAAAGCAACAATAACAAAATGGCTGATTTCTTTACATTGTCAATTATTGGTAAAGCAGCGTGTCGATTTCATCCTAAACACAGGAAAGATTCTACGGTTCTTCCACCAATAGATAGAGCCACTAGAAAACCAAGAGTTGATACAAGAAAACAAGGTGATTAACCAAAATGTATAAAGTTGATGCTCACTGAGCGAGGTATTCATCGAGAGATGTATTCATTGAGGGAAAGTACCTTAAGAAAAGTGACACTTTTCAAGAAAATTTTCAAGATGGCAGCTTAATTTCAAAATGGCGGCAATTTTTCGTAAAAAACGTAATCTTTGATAACTCAAATACCAGTGAACAGATTTGGTTGAAATTTTACATGATTGTGCCTAGGGACACAGTAGCTCTGTTCAAGAAATAATTTTCAAGATGGCGGCTGAATTTCAAGATGGCGGCCGAAATTCGTAAAAAACGTAATCTTTGATAACTCATATACCAGTGAACGGATTTGGTTCAAATTTTATATGATGATGCCTAGTTCACAATGGTATAAACTAACTTTGTGCCAAATTTTATGCTTCTATCACAAAGTGCACAAACATTTCAACATTTACACTAGCTATAATAAGCATAATATGTTTTGTTCGGTGTGATTTGCTACTCCGTGGAGTTGCTGTTTTTCTAGTTGAGGAAAGTATTCATTGAAATTAGATATCAATGTGTAAAATATTTATTGATAAAAGTATTTATTAAGTTAGAAATCATTTTGTGAAATATTCATTGATAATAGTGTTCATTGAAATTAGTTATCACTTTGTGAAATATCCATTGAGAAAAGTGTTCATTGAAATTAGTTATCATTATGTGAATTGATTCATTGAGGAAAGTATCCATTGAAATTAGATATCAAGGTGTGAAATATTCATTGAGAAAAGTGTTCACTGAAATTAGATATCATTATGTGAAATATCCATTGAGAAAAGTATTCATTGAAATTAGATATCATTATGTGAAATATTCATTGAAATAAGTGTTCACGGAAATTAGTTATCACTGTGTGAAATATTCACTGAGAAAAGTTTTCATTGAAATTACATGTAGATATCATTGTGTGAAATATTTATTGAGAAAAGTGTTTATTGGAATTAGCTATCATTATGTGAAATATTCATTGAGAAAAGTATTCATTGAAATTAGATATCATTATGTGAAATATTCATTGAAATAAGTGTTCACGGGAATTAGTTATCACTGTGTGAAATATTCACTGAGAAAAGTTTTCATTGAAATTACATGTAGATATTATTGTGTGAAATATTTATTGAGAAAAGTATTTATTGGAATTAGATATCATTATGTGAAATATTCATTGAGAAAAGAGTTCATTGAAATTAGATATCATAATGTGAAATATTCATTGAGAAAAATGAACATTGATATAATTTATCACTGTGTGAAATATTCATTGAGAAAAGTGTTCATTGAAGTTAATGAACGTTGTGTGAAATAATTAAGTGCCAGTGAATTGCTGGAAAGTACATGTGATGAAGAAATTTCACAATACATGTACTACATGTATTACAATATTTCATATATTTTTCAGTGAGAGTTCATGTACGCCATACCCTTGCTGATCACCCTGACCTAGTGGGGCTCAACCGTGGCTCCCCTGCAATCTCCCGCCAAGATGGCTCCATCACTGTAGACAGACCTCCGTGAGTATACATATACCAAGCACATTCTAATCAACCACTTTATTGTATGCAATAGCAGGCCCGTAGCCAGGATTTGCCAAGGGGGTTCACTTTTTGAAAAATTTCAGGGGGATTCACTTTTGACAATTTTGGTCCACAAATGGCCAAAATCACTTAAAAAGTGCTCAGCATGGTGAAAAACTGCATGATTTTGAAAGAATTTTTGGCCAGGGGGGTTCGCCCGAACCTATTGAACCCCCCTGACTACGGGCCTGAATAGTGTATTCATAATATCGAGCCATATGATTCTCCATTAATACACAATGATGAAAGTTCTTTGACTCAGCTAATTAATTTGGTCAAAGACTGATCCTGCTTACATATTAGTTCCATGAGACACTATATTTAATATCATTCTGTGTTCTCCATGTGATTTTTTCTCAAATGGGTTCAAAAATATTAAACCAAAACTGGTCAAAATATGCAAGTATGTCATGATTTTTTCTCATTTCCAAGTGGGTGCAAATGGATTTCCGGATGGGTGCAAGCCTGTTTTTGAAATCTCAGGTGGGTGCTGCACTCACCTTCTCTAGTGTTTGAGTCACTGTCATTATAAATTATTTTGATAGAGACAAAGAAGGTTTTTGTATATCGTGAGTCACAGAAATCCTTTAGAAATTACACGTTACTTATTTTTATATTTTTAGGTCATATATGAAATCTGGATCAAGTCACGGCACCACCAGTCGAGTCTCATTACGTGACAATGAAGATGGTGAGCAAATACTCGTTAACCAATCAGATGACCTCAATCAAGCTACACAGCCTCTTATGCCCCAGTACCAAGGTATGTAGAAATATATGTATTAACCCTTTTGTAAAGGTTTAGGATATCAAGACACATTAGTCTGTACAAAAATACATCACTTTCTACTAAACTACACTAATTTCACAATTCAATATTACAATACACTTTTTGTTCTATACAGGTCCAAAGACATTATTCTTAATGTTCATAGATTTACATATACTTTACTTTGGTCCATTATGGATGGTCCGAAGATATTTTTGGTTCGCAGACCTAATTTTTGTTAATATATTTAGTTTCGGTCTTTTGACTTGAATGTGTTTTGTTCATGCTCATCTGTTGTTGTGTTCTTAGTCATCAAATCCTTAGTGTACAGTAAAATTTGTCCTAGTGAACACAAACTCATTTTCGGTTGAACACCTCTGAAACAATTGTACCTTTTTCATTAAGAAACAACGATGTTCATAAATATATGGGTATCGTATATGGAGAGGTGTACATAATAGAAAGGTGTACATAAGATTTATTTTGAAGAAATGTTTATTGAGAAAAGTTTTACTGTATAGTCAAATATTGAAAAAATTATTGGATGAATCATATTATTTTCTGAAATGAATGAAAACCAAGGTATGATTTTTAAAATGTTTAATTTCTCATGTACACAGTGGCTTTTATATTGGAATTCGATAAAAAAGACATGGCTGGTCCTTGTATTTTTCATGGTGAATAATTTGTGACATATATAATTTATGTAAATTATTTGTTATTATTTTTTCCTAAGACCTTTTTAATTTAATTTTTAATTTTTTTGTATAATTTGTTTTTTGACAAACCTGGGGTTAAATGCACTCGGATTATTAAATTGGTGAGTTGCCTAATTGAATCAAATTCTCAAAATGCTTTCACATTAACATGTGCAATATATGTAAGTAAATGTACATATGTCTTTGTTTGATGTTTGTCTTTGTGACAAGAATTATACAATCAGATGTTGGTTGCATATGTGTCACCTTCTCAAAGATGCATGCTCAAAGACAAATTTTAGTGTGATGTCAGTTTTATATATTCTTAAGTGATGTCAGTTTCATAACTCCCTATATGATGTCATTTTTTGATAAATTCTTATGTGCTTTCAGTTTGCAATGTGTATACATGTATGATGTCAGTTTGATAAATTTTAAGATGATGTAATGTCAGTTTGATCCTTTCCCAAGTTTTGTCAGTTAACATACCCATTTCATATTAATGCCAAAGTGATATATTCCCTAGCAATTTCAATGTGATTATTTACCGATGTCAGTGTGATAGTGTGAGAACCTATGTCAGTTTGAGGGTTTTCTATGTCAGTTTGATGCAATAACTAAAAGATCTTGGATTGATATTCCAAAGTTCTGTCAATTAAACATACCTATTTCCTACTTATTTTTTCCCTTCAGTGTGATACATTCCCTATTCAGATCAATTTGATAATAGAACTAAAAAGGGTTCCCAGTATGATAAATTCCCAAGCTAAATTCATTAACATGAACCGTTCTTACTCAGTTCAGAGTAATACATTTCCTAGTACCGTAATGTCATTGTCATTATAACATTTTTCCAAATGATGTCAGTGGGATAGACTAGCTATATACAGTGTATGGCATATTGAAATACATTTGCTACATGTTATTGTGTAGTGATGTCAGCATAATAAATTTATTTGTATGTGATGTCAATATGATAGTATTGATGCTTTGTCAATTCTGTGATGTTAGTGTTTAATTTTATTAAGATGTCAATGTTTATGAGAAATTATGTACTTAATTTGTTATTTAATGTTGTTATTCCCTGATATCGTATAAATATTTCTGCACTGTGCCAAAGGGAACTGTTTTTATTAAACAAAGCAAGAAAATTAAACAAAAAAGAGTACATCACAGCAATAAGGAAAAATTGATAATTTCATGCAAGCAGTTAATGTTGAAAAATTGAGAATTGGCACTAATTATGGCATTTAATTTGTGTATTGGAATCTTTCTCAAATTTTACAAGTTTTTTATTCGATATGATCATGGGCTTTCAATTAGAGTTGAAATCCCATGATATGATGAATTGTATTTTTACATAAGCTACTACTTTAAACTTGAGAGATATTACAAATTCTTATTTTGCAGGTATAATGTCTGAGGGGTCAACTTTTTCTCTCGAAAACACGAGACCCGAATCTCAAAATCTTGGTGAATTTGTCATTGAAGATTCTGTCTCGCAAATGGAGCCATATTCTGTGCACTCGAGGGGAGGGAGTGCAAAGAGTGGAAGATCACGATCTGCAGGGGGTAGTAGAATTGCCACCCCTCTCAATGAAAATAACAATGAGGAAATTCAAGGTAATTTCCAGGGGCACTCAATAGGTGGCTCTGATATCATGAATAAGGAATTAGTTTATTAGTGATTGATCATTCATTTTATATGCTTCTATTTCTGCATGCCCTTTTCTATCAACTTCTGTAGTTATAACTCGTCATAGTCTATGCATGTTTACCTTAGCAACATTAACTTTTTATGTATTTCAAATTTGCTAGAGTATATGTAACAATAGCAACATTTAATGTCTATTTCCCTCATAAAACAGTAATTCTCCATGTTTAATGTATTTATGTATACATTTTTTATGCATGCTACAGTACCTTAACATTAACCGCTTAATTGTATATTCCATTCTGTTACCTTAGCAACGTTAATCATATGTTTATTATACATGTTCATTGTTTCTTGTTTACCCTGCATGACCCCCTGGCTGCATGAATCAATATTGGAAAGCATTTATACAGGGTGGTCCAAAAAAATTCCCTTATTCAATTTTCACTCAGGCATATGAGTATTTTAATGGCAACAGTGAAAAGGTTGTTATGCTCTCATTGGCAAAATTAAACTCAAAGTCATCCATCTTTGGTAAAAACATTTTCAGTCACAGTGCTTTCATTGGCTAATATACTCAATTGTGTTACTAACTGCTAAAAATGAAATGATTTTCCCCAATTTAAGGGCTTTCACTTGCAAAAGAAACCCCGAGTCAATCATGGTGCTTCGATTGGCAAAATCTAAAGCCAACTTCATAGTATACTTGCCTGTAGCCAGCTTTTACCAGGAGGGGGAGCTTTTTTCCAGGGGGGAGCTTTTTCACAATTTTGGCTAAAAATCATGCAAAAAATTCTCAGAATGGTGAAAAACCACATGATTTTGAAAGAATTTCTGGCCAGGGGTGGGAGCTTCTGCTCCCCAGCTCCCCCTCTGCATGGCTAAGGGCCTGGTATAGACACTACATTCTGCATGTAAATCCCATTCTGCTTTGTATTCTATCTTTAGCCATGTTTAACATCCTCCAATCCCAGGGTTTCAAAATCCAGAATATATTCTTTCTTTTTACCCTCTGCGATAAGCAGTTAGCATTTCCCCGATTAAGAACTCGCAATCTGATTGGCTGTTGCAACACTGCGACAGAAATCATGTATAAGTCATTGCGCATAATTAGATCATGTGATTCAGTTAAATCGGGCGCTTCCAAATTGGTTATAGCAGGGGGGAAGAAGGAGGAACGGATTCTGGACACCTGCTTAGGAGGATATGTTTAACCTTGACAATTAAACTAACACTGTACTATATGCATGTTCAATGTTGTTTGTACCTCCATGTAATTCTTTGTAGAGATAATAGATGGGTTTGCTAGTCAGTTTGCTTCCCAGAATGCATCACGGGTCCAGTCAGCGAGTTCTTTTACCAAATCTCGCTCTCCGACAATAAGACATGTGACACCAGGTAAAAAAAATCGGGACAAAAATTATACTCTCCCTTTATTTTTAACTCATTTGGAGCCTTATGGGATAAGATACCTTGTAATGTATATACTCTGCCTCGTAGGTTTGTGGCAGTGGCGGATCCTCGGGGGGCCCATGGGGCCTGGGCCCCCCCCCCCCTGAGTTGGGCCGAGGAAAAACTTTGGGCCAAATTAGGCTTTAAGGCCCCAAAAAGTCGGCCTTTTTGGTCATTACTAGGCTTTCTAAGGCCTTATTTTTTAATTTCAGGTCAAAGTTTGAAGAAAATGGGCCTCAAAATTTCAAAATTTGGGCCAACTTTTCGGTTTTAGGGGCCCAAAAATTTTTGTTTTTCTCTGACCGAAAATTTGGGCCCCCCCCCTTGTTGATTCCTGGATCTGCCACTGTGTGGTACATGTAATAAAACATACAATAGTTAAAAAGGGTGGCCATCAGTTGTTTCTTTACTTGAGATTATTTTCTGAGTCTCTTTATTTTTTGTCTGTTTATTGTCTTCAATTCTTTGTTTATTTTTGTTTACTTTTGCGTATTTATGTTTTTTTCATTTTCCCTGTCATTTAATTTTATTTTTGCCTTCAAGTGTATTTAGTTTTTCCTTTTGTCCTATTTCAAAAAGTATTTTATGCTTCTTTTGTTTTTTTAATCTTCTTTGTTTACTGTCTACATTATGTACTTGGATAATTGATTATTTTTTCAGCCTGTCTATTTTTACCCTAAACACAGTGTTGTATTAACTTCTGTTTCCCAATTTATTTTCCTAAAACTGTCCTAAATATAAATTATTTGGGACCTGACCTTGATATAAACTTTTGCTGACATCTAATATAAATTTAAAGTCGTATTTAGACATCTGAATATTGACGTTCCTCTCAACCCATAGACAAGAATCATCTGGGGTGACAAAAATTGTTCAAATTGACCTTATTAGGTATACACCAAATGCAAGTTACATATAAGCATTGCTAGCAGGTATTTCAAATATTAAAATATATTTTAATATACAGTATAATGTCACCACATATATTGTGTCATAAATTTTGCTGACATCTGATGTCTCATTGACATTGAACCCAAACACTGACTCCTGACCTAACTACATGAATGAATTCTTACTGACATCTGACTTGTAAATAAACTCTTTTTGACAGCTGACTTTAATATGTAAAAGCCATATGAAAGCCACATATAATCACATGGTGGTTATTTCAGATATTATCGTTCCCAAAGAAGCCGAAATAGAGGAACCAGCCTGGGGAAACACAGAAGATGGAAGTGAATACAATGTTCTTAACCAATCAGGGGCCATCCCTGCTTCACTGCGGTCACCATCTAGGCCCAGTACACGACCAAGCTCTGGTCATGGACATTCAGTTCCTAGTAGCCCTGGTTTGAATATTGATATTCCTCTCCCCCATCCACCTGAATCCCCTCACCCCCAAAGACAAGGATCTTCTGGGGTGAGATCAGGTGTTACCACCCCCGAAGCTGAACTTGCTCAACTTCCCAAGGAACATCCACCAAGCGTCAGAGTACCAAGTGTCAATGAGCCAAGCGTCCATGAGCATGAGCCAAGTGTCCATGAAAGTGTCCACGAACCAACTGACAAAGTGCCAAGTGAACATCCTCAAAGCCCTGCACCACCCAGTGAAAAAGCAGCCAGTATTAAAGCTCCAAGTGAAAAAGCCAGAAGTGTTAAATCTGCTAAACCCACCAAACAACCATCAGCTCCACAGGTGAGTGTTCTATACTGATTCTCAATCAAAGGTAACCATCAAATAGCATTCTTTCATAAAAAACAATTTAATAATTCCACTTTTTTCATTATTCTTGCTACATGAGTAAATAAGGTATTGAAAGATATTAACAATATTTAAAATCGGCTTATATATGGGAATGATTCTGCTGCATATAAACACCCGGGCATAAACTTTGAAATGTACCTATATTTTGAAACTGCAATGTTCATCGGATGCACCTGCTATCAGTAATTATAGCCTACTAAAGTCAGGATATGATATTTACCCTATGGATTTCAAAATATAATATACATAATTTCACACTAAAATCAATAAAACCTTATAAACATACAAAAACTTTTTGATATTGATATCTACCCTCGGTCACTGGAAATTGTATGTCTCTTTGGTTAATAATATCAGTGATTTTTCTTTCGCTGTTGGTGTTAATGTCATGTCTGAAGTATGTGAAATATTTATTACATGTCTTACATGTTATTCAGGCTGATAAAGCACCACCTGCTAAGCCAAGACCTCCCGGAAGATTGGCCAAATCTCAGAAACCTGACAAGTCTTACAAAGACCCCTTAGGTATCACATCTGTATCTAATAAGACTCCTGATGGAAAGAAAACCCCAAGAACTGCTGTACAGGATACTCCAGTGGAACCGCCTTCTGTGGTATGTAGGCCATGTATAAAGTATAATCAGGCCCGTAGCCAGGAATTGCCAAGGGGGGGGGGGGTCAGTTTTCAAAAATTTCCAGGGGGGGTTCACATTTGACAATTATGGCCCAAAATATGGCTAAAATCACTTGAGAAGTACTCAAAATGGTGAAAAACTGCATAATTTTGAAATAATTTTTGGCCAGGGGGGTTCATCCGAACTCTGCAAACCCCCCTGGCTACGGGCCTGATAATGTAGTAAAACCTGCGAATTCTCAAAATAATTTTTGATAAAAAACACCTCTCTATATATTATATATTTGTCCGAACACATGTATAAAGTAAAAATAAATAAGCTTCATTTTGCGAAATTTCAACATTTAAGATGAACCTGGATGATCTGTTGAAACCAACGAGAGAAGAAGAGGAAAAACGGAAGCGAGAGGAAGCTGAAAAGGAGGCTGCACGTCTCGCAGACCTTCACGCGGCTGCTGCAGAGAAAGCCAAACAACTACAGATGGAGAAAGAGCGAGAAGAAGCTATCAGTCCTGTTAGAAAAGATCTGGATGATATCAATGCTATGGAGAAAAAAGGTGTGTTCTTTTGTACCCTTATTACAACTTTCAGGTCCTCTGAGATGAATTAGAACTCTCTTAAAACATGGTTAATTAGCTCACATTGTAAACCTCAGAGATAGAGTTAGAAAAAGGTCATTAATGATAAAAACTCTAATAAATTAAGAATCTGATGAATTAAAGTGTGAAATAGTTTGCACATGATTATGGTTGCAAGCATTCTTCATGTTTATTGTTGCATATGTTTGGACAACCATAAAATATACTTATGTTTGCATGTGTTTATGTTTACATGTGTTTATGTTTACATGTGTTTATGTTTGCATGTGTTGCATGAGTCTTGTGTGTAATGGTTGTAAGCATTTATGATTAAATATATTTATGGTTGTGTTTGTAATTACAGTATCAGGGATGCTTAAGGAGACAGGAGAGGACATGGGAGAGGGTTTAACTGCTGAAGAATTGGAGCTACGTGCACAAATGCTCAAGGTAACCATGGCAACATACATGAAATTTAACTTTTTAATAGTTATCCTACACAAATTTGCTGAAGACTTAATATAAGTTATTGATGTTTGGCTTCCTTTTATACTACTGTATCACCATGATCATTGACTGTGTTCTACATGTATGTTGTGATATATATGTTGTTTATATTCTAGCAATAATTTGCTAAAGACGTTCATTGTTGATGTTTTGGCTTCCTCGTGTACTGTCACCATGACATTTACTGTGTTCTAATTGTGATACATTTTTTGTTGTTGTAATGTTGTATATATATTGTTGTCTTTTTGTAGGAAAAGATGGAGGAAGCAGAAGCATTAATGATGGAAGCTGATGGTGCTAAACCTGCTCAAAGAACACTAGGCAAGCCTCGTTCTGAAAAGAAAACGGGCAAGAAAGGCGGGAAGAAGGGCTCAAAAGGAAAGGGGAAGGAGAAATCTGACGATGAATCCGTGAATCTAATTGCTCAGAAAGAGGCTCTTAAAGAACAGCGTCGTTTGGAAGCAGAGGTAATGCATTATGGGTAGAGAATTGCATTATGGTATAGATATCCATGTGATGCATTATAAATATAAATATAAAACATTGCAATGCTATCTGTAGACTGAGAGAGAAAGGGGCATGCATGTATCTCTGTAACAAGGGAATTTATATTAGAGAGAAAACATTACAGTATTGAACAAATTCCAAGACCAAGACATTGTTTATTCAATTTTGTTTTTCTTGGAATTCTAGAACAGCAACAAGTTAATCTCAGATTATTTTAAAATGAAGACTTCAATCTCTTTTTACATATTTATTGTATGATATATGCAGTACACACCATTGACTGTATTACATGTATACCATTATGCAACATATATTATATGACACCTGTATCCAGGCCAAAACAAAGGAGGCTGAGGCCCTTAAAGAAGCAGTCATGCTTAAAAAAGAGCAATCCCTTGCTAATATGCTGAAAAACAAGAGAGCAGAGAAGGTGAACTCCCAGGGTGCATCACTGTATTATTGCACACTTCTTAACCAATCATGCATGCGTGAAGCACTCAGAACAATGAATGGAGGCATTAAGGGAAAGCTCTTTTAGTGAAAACATGAACTTTCCTATATACACTGTACCTTTATATATTACCGACATTTTGATCTTCCATTGTGAAAGATTATAATACACCTTAGGCCCGTAGCCAGGATTTGCCAAGGGGCCGTTCAGTTTTCAAAAATTCCCAGGGGGGGTTCACATTTGACAATTTTGGCCCAAATATGGCTAAAATCACTTGAAAAGTGCACAAAATGGTGAAAAACCGCATGATTTTGAAAGAATTTATGGCCAGGGGGGGGGGGGGTTCACCCGAACCCTGCGAACCCCCCCTGGCTACGGGCCTGCACCTGCAGAAATGATTCAAGGAGACTTGTTAAGAAATGTCTTTCAATGATTCTTGTACATTTTCCCAATATAATCCCCTCATTTCCTACACAATAGACAAATTGACGCAACAAGATCTGAATTCCGATTTAATAGGTTTTTGGCATGATCAGAAACAAAACTCGAAATCATATTATCATGATGTACACGTATTCCTAAAATTGAGTTAAAGTGATTTGTAATTCAAATTTCGAGATTTGGGCTACATTTCCAATTTACCATTTGTTTATAATTTCCTTGGGGGTATGTTTCTCAAAATGTCATGTATTACAGTTTGAGTGTTTCAAGTGTTTTCAATAGTATGTTTATGCAGAGTCTCTGGTTTATGAAGATGAGTGTAAGTCTTGTAATGTGTGAATATTTTGAGAAACTGGCCCCAACAGCACTGCACAGAGGTGGTTGAAACAAAGATAACATGCACAAATCTAACATGTGGTGTGTCATGAAATTTACAGCGAAAACTTGAGGAAGAACGTCTGTTAAAAGAGAAGATAGCTGAAAAGGAAGAGGAGAAATATCGTAAAAAACAGTTAGCCGATCGTCAGGCAAGGGTAGGGTCACATGACAATTTGACGTCAATTAGATAATATGGAGTTTAAGCTTGCAATGTTTTTTACAACCAAAACGTGAACGGAAAATGTTTTAAGCGATGCATTTGTATGGGCGATTGGTCATACGTACAGGCTGACGTTTCGATTTTATATGCAAGCTTAAACTCCCTAATATTTATATATAGTGTAGATAGACATGGTAGTATTGATTTGCCGTATATTTATATTTGGACCGTGTTTATTGGACAAAAACTGGTTTTGATTAAAAATGTGTATGTTTGATGTTTGCACAGTTGGCACAGTACTGAGTTTTAATCACAGCACAATTTTGTAAATATCATTAAGTACATTACATGTATATAGCTATCACATTAGGCAAATAGCACATATAGAATAATTCCAATAACTCGTATCACTTTAATTTATACTGTATGTAATGTGTTAATACTATTCAAGTAATTAATTATATCAATATACATGTATTATTACTATTCCTACTGTATATTATCTCCATTTCAAAATTTGTTATAACTGTTTCTATAATTTATCAAAATTCATCTATATTATCACTATTCCTTAAATATACTATCACAATTTCAGATATGTTATTCCTTTTCCAAACAAGTTTCTTTGAAAATCAGAACATGAATTATAAAACAGATGTAAACAAGTCTGAAATACTAAATACATTACACAACTGCCCTCTTTCTGTAGGATATGGAACTAGAGATGCGTGCCCTGGAAGAGCAGGCTGAAGAGGCTCGTCAGGCTGAGGAAGAGGCTAGAGAGGCATTGGCGGAAACACGAAAGAATTCCAGAGAAGAGCGAGAGGCACGACGTCAAGCAGAGATTGAACGCAAAAAACGTGATGCCCAGGAGAAAAGGGAAGAGGCGAGGTAGAAAAAATAATCTTATTATAGACATAAATCACATTTTTACTAAAAGGTTTAAAAAAAGTGTAATTTTAATTTTTGCAATTAAAATACAATTACAAGCAACGTTGATCATATTGAGGCAATATAAATACGAGGGTTGTCCCAGAAGTAATGCACTATATGTTCTAACTTTCCTTAATATTCTTCAATTTAGCATATAGTGCATTACTTCTGGGACAACCCTCGTATATATGCACATGTTAATGGCAAGAACAAATAAAGTGAATATTTTTTTATGTCTTTAATGAGATAACAGAAACAATGATAAATTCAAACAAAAGTCGAGAAATATACATGTACAATGTATTGTTAATTATTTTTTCAGACGTGTGAAAGAGGCCGCAAGACAACGAGAACAGGAAATGCTAATGAGGATGGCTGATGCCGATACACGTCGCAAAATGATGGAAGAGGAAAGATACCGTCGTGAAATGGAAGAGGAGGCCGAAGCTGAGCGAATTGAGGTAAAACAGATATTTCCAAATCATGCGGTTTTTCAGCATTTTAGGAACTTTTTGAATACTTTTTGGCCAAAATTGTTAAATTTGAACCCCCTAGCAAAAGCTGGCCACGGGCAAGTGAATTTAGTACGGTTGCATAATATTTATTTGTTTTACAAAGCTGTATTTTGAAATCACAATCTAGCTATTTTTAAGATTAAAATCTTGCTCTCGACCAAAAAATTATGTACAAGACTGCAGCCTCAAAGTCTCACTTATCATATTTCTTTGATACTCAATTAACCATCCAGCATGAGTTAGTAACATTTGTTTGGATTTACTTTTCGGCTGTTTATCTATAAGTATTCTAGAGAAAAATATAAAACTGAATTCTGCTGGTGCTGCAATCTTTATATCAGCCCAGGAACTATGGTTTTCATATCATTTTTTGTATTTTTGTGTTAAATGATACAACAGCAAGAGGAGTTTGAGGCAAATGAGCTGTTTCTCCTTGAACAGATGGTAAACAACTTGCTTGTAAACAGCATGTAGATGTAGAGGCATTGCATGTCACTGTAAATTGTAAACAGAATGACACGTGCAGCTGTAGGGTGTAAACAGCATGGCATGTGGAGCTGTAGAGTGTTAACAACATGTCATGTGCAGCTGTAGTGTGTAAACAGCATGGTGTGCAGATGTAGATTATAAACAGGATGGTGTACAACTGTAGAGTATTGACAACATTGCATGTCACTGTAAATTGTAAACACTATGGCATGTGCAGCTGTAGAGTGTAGACAGAATGGCATGTGCAGCTGTAGAGTGTTAACAACATTGCATGCAATTGTAAAGTTGAAACAGTATGGCATGTGCAGCTGTAGAGTGTGAATAGCATGGTGTGCAGATGTAGAGTGTTAACAACATGGCATGTGCAGCTGTAGAGTGTAAACAGAATGGCATGTGCAGCTGTAGAATGTAAACAGCAATGTGTGCAGATGTAGAGTGTTAACAACATGGCATTTACAGCTGTAGAGTGTAAACAGAATGGCATGTGCAGCTGTAGAGTGTATACAGCATGGTGTGCAGATGTAGATTATATACAGGATGGTGTACAACTGTTGAGGGTTGACAACATTGCATGTCGCTGTAAATTGTAAACACTATGGCATGTGCAGCTGTAGAGTGTAGACAGAATGGCATGTGCAGCTGTAGAGTGTTAACAACACAGTATGTGCAGCTGTAGAGTGTAAACAGAATGGCGTGTGCAGCTGTAGAGTGTGAATAGCATGGTGTGCAGATGTAGAGTGTTAACAACATGGCATGTGCAGCTGTAGAGTGTAAACAGAATGGCATGTGCAGCTGTAGAATGTAAACAGCAATGTGTGCAGATGTAGAGTGTTAACAACATGGCATTTACAGCTGTAGAGTGTAAACAGAATGGCATGTGCAGCTGTAGAGTGTATACAGCATGGTGTGCAGATGTAGATTATATACAGGATGGTGTACAACTGTTGAGGGTTGACAACATTGCATGTCGCTGTAAATTGTAAACACTATGGCATGTGCATCTGTAAAGTTTTAACAGAATTGCATGTGCAGCTGTAGAGTGTTAACAACACAGTATGTGCAGCTGTAGAGTGTAAACAGAATGGCGTGTGCAGCTGTATAGTGTTAACACCATGGGATGTGCAGCTGTAGAGTGTAAACAGCATGGCATGTGCAGCTGTAGAGTGTTAACAACATTGCATGCAACTGTAAAGTGGAAACAGTATGGTGTTCAGCTGTGGAGTGTTAACAGCAATGTGTGCAGGTGTACAGTATAAACAGCATGGTGTATAACTGTAGAGTGTTGACAAAATAACATGTAGCTGTAGATTGTAACAAGCCTGGCAAGTACACTGTAGCTGCAGGGTGTAAACAGCATAACATACATTTGAGAGTGTCAACAGTATGGTTTGAAGCTGTGGATTGTTAAAAGAATGGCATGCAGCAGGACATACATGTATCACTGTTTCAGTTTACAGAATGGTTGGCATACAGCTGTTGGGAGAGAACAGTTTTTTGGCTTACAGTTAGATAAGGTTAAAAATATGACCAAATTCATTTTTTATATTAGCAATTGTGAGTTTTTATATCGAGCATGTCACTTGAATCATGGGCCCTGGAAACCCCATGCTTAAATACAAGGCCCTCGGTCACCTTAGAAACACAATCACATGCAGTATACGGTTGATTATTAGTGGCCTTGTACCTTCATGACTTAGCTTGTATTCACGATTAATCTACTATTCTATGGGCAACTCACTTGAATATGAATAGTACCTGTCTCCATTTCATTCTTATCTAAATGGGTTGATCATTAAATAGTAGGTTCATCCGGTAGCCGACAGCCGAAAGTTGCATTAGCGAATACCAAATTGATCACAAAACAATAATTAATGATAAACATAAATGCATGATTCAATCAACTGCATACAGTATTTGAAGGGGACTCATCTCTAAGTTCAACTTTTACAACAGTGGTAATATATTTGCCATGTCAACTAAGAGCTCCTCATTCTGCATTGCTTTATCATGACGTCATATAGCTCTCTTGTTTATGGATTTTTGGAATTTGATACCATCATCTGTGACTTAGTGACACGTTGTCCCAACAACAATCAAACAAACAAATAAACTTAGATACATCGCTGATTTTTACAAATTCCATTGCATAATTTGGGAGTTTGCTTCAGGTTTGCTTTATTTTCTTCGTTTTCGTAGCTAAAACAGTAAATACAAAATACCAATGTTCTATTTTTTTCCTCAAAAGATGTCAAAGTAAATGAACTTCAAAGCTTTGAAATCTTGAATCTTGTTAATGGATATAGAAAGTTAAATTAAAATATCATATGGCGTCAATTGTACTACAGAACTTTGGTAAGGGGTACAACCCTAGATGTATACCTACACATACTGCGGAAATATAACGAACTAAGAAGAAATAAAATTGAAATAAAAACGTTCCACCGTCGATTTTATCAAAAATGTCAAAGTTTATTGAAATAACAAAGCGTTTGACATGACATGACGAATGGCGTCTATTTTATTGCCAAACTTGGGTACAGGATCACAATCATTTACTCATATTAGTGGAATGCTTTATCTACCCTCATTTGAATCCAAACTCTTTAGATGATTAAATAAAGTAAATTAATAACATTTTTAGCGATTGAATAATGATTCAAATGTCTAAAACACGTAAAGCGAGATCATACTGTTTTACAATATGAATATTTCGCGTTTTAGATATTGAATGAAATTCTCAAAAATATAAAAAAGCGAAGTCCCGGCTGTAAATATCAGAAAAATAGACGGTGAAACAAAATGTTGTTGTTCAAGTTTTTTCCTCCAAGAATGTCAGAATTTATTGAAATGATATGACCAAGGGAATATGACGATTACAGTTCGACATGGCGTCACTTTTCTTGGCTAACTTGACGGGGTAAGGGGTCACAACCCTTTACATATGTTGCTATTATAATGCTTTATTTACCCCCATTTGTATTTTCTTGGAATGCAAACCCTTCAGATAATAAGATACATTTTAGCGACATCTAGCATCTCTAAATTAAGAACGTGTCGCTTAAAGCAAGCCTGTTCTAGCGAAGCGGTCAAACGTTTTTGTCATACAACGTCATACCCATCTTTAAGACGATGTAGTGAACTATTTTAACGTTTAAGATTTGATTTATTTTACATCTAATGAGAGCATATATGAAATTTTCCAAAAAGCAAACAGAAACAGTGCATATACGGTACTCCAAAATCAGCTAGGTTAGAGATGAGTCCCCTAAGAGTAAACATCAAGTCATGCATCGTAATAACTATAAGATAGTCTGATCGAATAATTTACAAATTTGGTACAATTTGGTACAGAATATGTCTGCTTTAAATTGGCGAACTAGCCTTTTGCAGATCATTAACATAGACATCGAATATCAGAACAATTTGAATGAAATACTTTACATCAAATTACACTCAACATTGATTTGACAAAGGTATGAATTAAAATGTACTCATCTTTGATTGTCTTTGTGAATACAGGAAGAAGAAAGGAGAGCAATGCGGGAAGCTGAGGAGGAAGAAGAGAGAATTGCAGCTTTGGAGAAAGCCGTAAGTTGATAAAGTTCCCAGCCTCGTATCCTCCTAATGCCTGGCCCCCATTTGCTCCGATTCTCCCTACCGCGCCCGGCCAATTGAGTATTTTGTTCAAAATTGAATACAGATTTTAACAAAACACTCAATTGGCCATGCGCCGGCCGATGGATCGGAGCAAATGTGACCCAGGCATAAGCAGGTGTCCAGAATCCGTACCTCTTTGTTCCCCTCTGCTATAACCAATTTGGAAGCTCCACATTAAACCGAATCACGTGATCTTATTATGCGCAATGACTTATACACGATTATCATGGTAAACATGTCAATCCCCATCTTCTTCCAAAACATATCAACGTGGAATTGTCAAGATAAATAATTCTCAAAATAACTGATTCAACGATTGTTATATTTTTTCTGAATTTAAAGAATGTTGAATTATCTAATTTTCCTAATATAGACTTGGATTGAAGCTATGCTGAGAGAAATATTGAAAATGCTGAATTTTTTGATTTCCTGATAAAGGCCGAGGAAGAGGCAATGGTTCGAGATATTTTGAAAATGCTGAATTTTTTGATTTCCTGATAAAGGCCGAGGAAGAGGCAATGGTTCGAGATATTTTGAAAATACTGAATTTTTTGATTTTCCTAAAATAGACTTTGAGAAATATTTTGAAAATGCCAATAAAGGCCAAGGAAGAGGCTATGGTTAGCGATATTTTGAAACTGCTGAATTTTCTGTTTTTCCTAATATAGGCTGAGGAAGAGGCGATGGTAAGGTTGATCAGAGAGCGAGAAGAGGCTGAGAAAAGGCAGAGGTTACTCAGAGAAGAGGCGGCAAAGATGCAAGAGGAAGAGGAGAAGAAAAGGTAAACTTTTATACTTGCATGAGCAAAAAGGTTAACAAACAGGTAAAGTCTCATCTTGGTCTTATCAGTACGTTAACAAATAAATCTAGATTACATGTGACGTATTTGATTCATATGTTACTTGATTGAATCATATGTGACACGCTTGGATCCCATTTGAAATATTAGATTAATATGTGACATGCTTGCTTCAAATGTGATTATTTGATTCATATATGACATGATTGATTTACATGTGACATATTTGATTCACATGTGACAGGCTTGACTCACATTTGAAACATTAGATTTACATGTGAAAGGCCTTCTTCACACGTTGTTAATTGATTCATATTGGTACATAACTTGAACCAAATCTGATCTGAATTTGACAATTCATGATCAATACTGGTATTCGACAGACTTGAATATGTGACATAACTTAATCTAAATGTGACATAACTTAATAGATATGTGACATGATCTGTTTTACAGAAAAGCATTTGAAGAGGAGCAGCGTAGACTTGAATATGTGACATAACATAATCTAAATGTGACATAACTTTAACTATATGTGACATGATCTGTTTTACAGAAAAGCATTTGAAGAAGAGCAGCGTAGACTTGAATATGTGACATAACTTAATCTGAATGTGACATAACTTTAACTATATGTGACATGACCTGATATACAGAAAAGCATTTGAAGAAGAGCAGCGTAGACTTGAATATGTGACATAACTTAATCTAAATGTGACATAACTTACTCTATATGTGACATGACCTGATTTACAGAAAAGCATTTGAAGAAGAGCAGCGTAGACTTGAATATGTGACATAACTTAATCTAAATGTGACATAACTTAATCTATATGTGACATGACCTGATTTACAGAAAAGCATTTGAAGAAGAGCAGCGTATACTTGAATATGTGACATAACATAATCTAAATGTGACATAACTTTAACTATATGTGACATGATCTGTTTTACAGAAAAGCATTTGAAGAAGAGCAGCGTAGACTTGAATATGTGACATAACTTAATCTAAATGTGACATAACTTTAACTATATGTGACATGATCTGTTTTACAGAAAAGCATTTGAAGAGGAGCAGTGTAGACTTGAATATGTGACATAACTTAATCTAAATGTGACATAACTTTAACTATATGTGACATGATCTGTTTTACAGAAAAGCATTTGAAGAGGAGCAGTGTAGACTTGAATATGTGACATAACTTAATCTAAATGTGACATAACTTTAACTATATGTGACATGATCTGTTTTACAGAAAAGCATTTGAAGAGGAGCAGCGTAGACTTGAATATGTGACATAACTTAATCTAAATGTGACAAAACTTTATCTCTCTGTGACATGACCTGTTTACAGAAAAGCGTTTGAAGAGGAGCAGTGTAGACTTTAATATGTGACATAACTTAATCTAAATGTGACATAACTTTATCTATTTGTGACATGACCTGTTTTACAGAAAAGCATTTGAAGAGGAGCAGCGCAGACTTGAAGTTGAGATGAGGAAAAGAGAATTAGAAGAGCAGGAAAGAAAAGAGCAAGAGAAGGAGAGATTGTTAAAGGTAACATATGACAAAAGAAAATGTGACAATATATTTTGCAATATTAATAAGTTTGACCTTCTTAAAGTCAATTACCATATATCATTTTCTATAAATTTTCATGAAAGAATGGAAGACGAAGGGTCAGATTAAAAACAATAATGTTTAATGTCCACTTTTAATCCCGTCAATTTAGGACATGAGATTGATTAGGTTTACATACACGTATCTCAAGGCGTGCAGTTTTATTTAATAGTGATATTGGTTTCAGAGATACATCAGTTTGAACTCCATGCTGATAATACTGTACGCTGCACTTAGTTTCAAATTGATGAAATTAGTTGATTTTCTTTTCTTTTGAAAAGTAGATAGTGTTTTAATGACAATGTGATTTAGTTGTGCAATCTTTTGATTTAATATATATGTGATTTTTTGAAAGAAGAACAACTTTGAAGGTTCCTTCAATTATAATATAATTTATGATTCAGTCGCTCAAATTGCTGTCATTTTTCTTTAATACTATTTCTTTGATATTTGCAGTTGAAGCAACTCGAAGAAGAAGCCCAGGATAAACTCCATCAAGCTATGGAAAAAAGACGTCAGGCTGCGATGAAACGTCGTGAACAAAACTTAGAGCAACGTGCACATTTGGAGAGTGTCAAACATGGCCAGGGAATGACAAAACCTTGGCTTTTCTCGTACTATGTGCTTTGGCCTCGAGAGACTTATGAGAAGTTCGTTAAAATTTATTTGAATTCTTTGAATTTGAGTTTATTCTCGTACTGTATTGACATGATATTAAAATGAAATGATTTTTCTCTACTTATTTAGCGTAATGCATGTATATTATATAAAATATAAATACACAGCACAATGTTTAGAAAAAATGTATTCATTCATAATGTATAGATAGTAGAGGTGTCAAGTATTAACCGGTTAACCGCCGATAATGCCTTGACCGGTCTGAGTTTTTTATGGGCGGTTAGTTGACCGTGTATAATTCTGTTATTTCCCGCGCTTATTTTGCATGCTAATCCGTTTGGTTTTATGGTGTCAGTTTCACGTAAGCTACTCATACATGTCATAAGTCCCATAACTCCTTACAAACATCCAATCAGCAACTTTAATCCCTGCCATATTGCTTTCCCGCGCTTACTTTGCATTTTAATCTGTTTGTTTTTCAAGCGTCAGTTTCATGTGAGCTACTCATACATGTGATAGGTCCGATAATTCCTTACAAACATCCAATCAGCAACTTTAATCCCTGCCACATTGCTTTCCCGCGCTTACTTACATAGAATAGCGTAAAGCTTGACGAACGTAAAAAATAAACGCCGATATATCATTTTTCCAATTTTTTCAACTTTCAAGATCGAAGATTAAGATTTCATTTGAAATTATAAGTTCAAATTTCCCGCCGGTTAACCGACTTTAACCGGTAAAAAACCCCGGTTAACCGGTTAATGCTCAAGCGGTTAATTGACACCACTAATAGATAGTGCTTTTTGAATAATTTCACTTTTTTACAAACTTTTATTTTTGCAGGTTAATGGGAGTCGGAGATGACAAGAAGAAGAAGAAACCCAAACCTAAAGCCAAACCTAAATAGAGCAAGATGTACATTGTAAAACATGTACCCCGTCCACAATATTTCTCATTCCTACTGAAGAAGAGGATGTTTTGTCCCCATGGTTACTAAGAGGATATCTCATCAAACGCTGAAAAAGTCTCAATTCCTCCCTTAGATAGTACATGGACACATATTAAATGCAATGTACTGTTTACACACTATTGTAATCCCATAATTGCGTTTGAAACTTTATGAGAGACTGACATTAATTGGTCAATGATAACAACTTTACATTGCCTATATAAGGGAGGTTTTGGATATGCGGTTTATCCATAGGAAGATGTGCATATCTCACGAGGGATAAACCCCTTATCCAAACCGACCGTATATAACTGCTTTGTCCTATACCCAGTAGAGTTTTCTAATTCTTTTTCTTCAAATTATTTTTCAAAGCGGAAAGATATACCCTGGAGATATGGAGGTTCTGGATATGGAAGCCTCAAATCAGGATATGGGATATATATCTTACCAACTTACCTTCCTAAAACTCTACTTGGCATAGGATGAATGTATATATCTTCGTATTATATAGTGTAATTTTTTTAAAATGACGGCCAGTATTTGGAACTCTTAACAGTGGACAATTATCTATCAGACTATATTGTGTTTTTTCACTGAAATATAGACCTGCAAAATGTTTTGCAAATTATTTATGTGTATAGTTCCCGATTTGAATATTTAAATGTAGTTCATATTTGTATATGAAACCGTCCAGTATATTTATATTTTTATACAGTCAGAGAGAATGTAGTTCTTTTATGAATTAAGAAGGAATCAAAACTATATATAGCAACATGTAGTGTACAAGTAACTACATGTAAATAATAAAATATAGAATGTAGGATGAAATATTTGTTTTATTAAATGTATCACTATGTAACTGGCCGAATATTCCAGAAGCACTCGTTGCCATAAGTCGCACATTCAAAACCGGGTTTGCAAAAATCTGAGGGGGATATAGGAAAGTCGTCCGTTCTTTCGTCCGTTCGTTAGTGTGTCCGGACGAAAACGGAAAAAGCGTTGACCAGATTTAATCAGGATTTTATAGACTTATGCCTTATTGGTGTAGGACCTCTACTCCAGAAAGACTTCAATATACCTGCTCAATTCCAAATGGCCGCCATCTTTCGTAAAAATGTAATCTTTGATATCAAAAATACCTGTGAACGGATTTGGTTCAAATTTTATATGATGATGCCTAGGGACATAGTAGATTTGTTGAAGAAAGAATTTCAAGATGGCGACTGAATATCAAAATGGCCGTCATTTTTGATGGAATTGGTTTAAATGTAAGTTTGTGATTAAAACGTCGTGGGAATTCTGCCTTCAACGCGTAAAATAAGGAAAAAGGAAAATCGTACCTTCGAGGTTCCGACATTTTGTTACCGAAACCAACAGTAATCGAATGGAGCACCAGTGATATCGGAACAATTTTATGAAGAAACGCTCGTGCTTTCAAGGTCTTCAAGAAACACTTGGTGAAATAAAAATGTTAAAGTTATACCCGACCAGAATATGGCATTCTCATAAATTAAAAGATGGTTACTTAAAGTAAATTTAAACTATTGCATACACAAGTCTTTTCATGCAGCAGTGAATAGAATGAGGATAGCTAAATGTGTTGTTTTTATCTAAAACTGATTTTCAATAGTGACCACATTTATGCACTACATCATCGATTTCAATTATTTATTGATAAGAGTGATACGTTTTTTCTTAAGTGCAATTTATAGCTCTGTATTTAAGCGTCCTATGTCTGGCATTAAGATCACGTGAGAAAGAAAGTTCACATTGCGTCAGTTAAAATCACCATATAATACAAAAGGTGTTTAGAACGAACCTTCAATTTAAGTTTTCAAATTCATCAACAAAAATCAAAAGCAAAATCAACTTTTGATACATTAAAATCAAAATGCCAATACTTATAGAATTAGATACATAATATAAAATCATATTTCAAATGAATGAAATATATAGGGTATATTATAATGAGGAAAATGTAATAGATCTACCCGTTCAACCGTTATCTCCTTCTGTGTATCTCTCGCTCCAATATTCCCGGGAATCGTTTTCGTTCTGTGTATAGACAGTCAATTTGTTAGACTATCTTCCTAACAAAACCGTTTGCTAACAAATGTTTGTTAAAAAATCTACAAGAAAACATATTGCATACTCTTTTAAGAACTATCAGACTGGGATATGTAAATCAACAAAATGATTTGATAAGAGAAATCAAGATAAGTAAAAGAGTCAAAGAGACCGACCCGGGCAAGGCTAAGGTACACACTACACACGTTAATTGATTCCTGAATTATGGATAATAAACATAACACGTAATAAATTAATATTGCCATACACATTACATAGGATGGGGTATTCTTTGTATAGGTATTGTTCTGTAACAATTTTTTGCCCTTTCTCTTTGACACTTGTGCGTCCGAATATATTGATATACAAAAACAAACATAATGAACACACAAAACAATAGTTACCCTTAGAAACAAATGCTACTTACATTATATAAACTAAACTATTACATTAAGCTATCGCGATGAATAATGATACCAAGACAATGGTGATACCAAAACAATGGTGATACCAAAACAATGATGATACCAAAACAATGATGATACGAAAAGAGTGGTGATACCAAAACAATGATGATACCAAAACAATGGTTTGTAATTGGAGCATGATTATTACATAGATATTTCACATTAATTTCAGCTACAAAAATCTAGCAAAGAAACCTTGTACCCTCTGTAAAAAGGTGCAGGGTCATTTATCAATTAAATTGTTTTTTTTTGTTTTTTTGCTATAATTATTCCAAACATTTAAAGGTATTGTATGAATACTTTGAGCAAATGTAGAACATTTTAAAGAGATTCATTAAGATCGTAAAAAGTTAGATAGGATTGAATAAAACAACAAACAAAATCGTGAATGTGATTTTTTACCATAAATTGACGTAGTAATAAATGTGAGAAATCCATGTAATAACATGTTCAAACTGAAATATAGAAAATTTTCAACATAGCATTTTCTTCCGTGTTATGTATGCCCCTCTACCTGCTTAATAAGGCAATGTATCTTCAAATAAAACCTTAGCATAGTTAGATTAGCGTCTATGGAACACTTTTGTAAATAGTTTTCACAAGCAATTTTGTTTGTGAGTCTCAAATTTTGTCTTCCCGATTTCTGTCATGAATTACGTCAATTTTGCGTGCAAACATTGGGAAGACGTTGTCATTACCGGATGCCCAAACGTGTCAGGAACACATAGATACTTGAATGATTTTGATTGGACATCAGGGTGCAGAGAAATCGTAATTTTACTGACTGGCTTCACGAAAAAATAAGCAGCATTTTAGGCCACCTTAAATACAAACGAATACGCCTAATCATGTACATGTGACTTTCATAGACACTGGTGATCCACTCGATTACGCTGGAACCATTCGGTAACAAAATGTCGGAACGTGGAAGGTACGATTTTTCTTTTTCCTTATTTCACACGTCATAGGCAGAATTCCCACGACATTTTTATCACAAACGTTTATCAGTATCATATGTTTAAGAAAATGTACACATTTGCGAACGAATAGTCCAGAAGACAACGGAATCGTCGATTTAATTCCTAACTTAAGTTACATAAACGGTATTTCGAAAAACACTTAAGATCTGCACTTTTAACCCCTACCGTTTATGTAACTTAAGTGAGGAATTAAATCGACGATTCTGTTGTCTTCTGGGCTATTTTTTCGCAAACATGTACATTTTCTAAAACATATGATACTGATACACGTTTGTGAGAAAAAATGTCGTGGTGGTTCTGCCTACGACGCGTGAAATAAGGAAAAAAGAAAAATAGTACCTTCGACGTTCCGACATTTTGTTCGTAATCGAGCGGATCACCAGTGATATACAGAGTAAACATTAAGTTAGAAATGTTCGAATCTACTTGCCGATGACATTGACTCTGACAGTCGGACTTTTTGACAACAATTGCATTGACGTTTTTCATATTGTTCAAAGGTAGCTGTACTCAAAACGCAATGTTTATTATTTCGTGCATATTACTAATTTTCCAACGGATGGCGAACAATACTTGACGGTATTCTAATTGCTGCTATTGCCAATATCTATCTATTGATTAAAAAGACAAACATATAAAACAATTCACAAAACAATAATGCCCTTGATTTATCTTACGAGATTAACTTTTCTATGAATTGGTGTCAGCCGAAGTGTCACATTAGAAGTTTGAATGACCATGGATACTTGAAACAATGACGCACTTCATATATTCACGAAATTATTTCTGTATGAATTGCTGTCAGTCTAAGTTTTTATTTGAAGCGTTTAGAGTAAGACCAAACCAAACAGATAACTATGAATAATTAAAACTGAATGATCACGCAAACATATTTTCCTTGACACCTGTTTTGTAAGCCAGTACACAAGCCAGCACTCAAAATTAATGACAATTAACAGAATTAAGTAATCATTTTTGAAAGCCTGTTTTATGCCTGAGTCACATTAGCCCCGATTCATCGGCCGGCGCCGTTCAAAACTGAATACAATTGTGAACAGGATACTCAATGGCCGGGCGCCGGCCGATGAATCGGAGCAAATGTGACCCAGGCATAATGAAAATACATTGATTATGAGCTTTAAACATGTTAAAGTGCATCCTGTGAAAATACCATGATAAATTATTGAGAATTGAAAGCCTTGCCAGTAATACAGAGAGGAAATGACTCGTCCCGGCTACTAACAAACAATAAAAAAATTTCAACCTTATGGAATGGGGTTTGTCACGGGGTTCTACTGTTCCACTTGACACAAGTTTCTTCATCATCAAATTTTGTTGTAGTATATATTTTAAAATTCAGAAATTTTGGAAATTTATGACTGTCATAGTATTACACCTTAATAAAAATTCGTCTGTTTTTTCATATAACATCACATCGCAGCAAATTGAAAAACAGCAATACCAGTGAAAAAAGATAATCCAATTGCGCATGCGCATGTGTTCCACCATTGTATTTACACATCAATGTCGAATAAACTGAAAGGTTAACAAAAGATACAAAGAGTTATCTGTCAGTCATTATGTCACGTGACATTTAGTATGTTAATTCTAACATGTTCATTGGTCAAAAAGAAAACAGCTTTCAATTGCAAACCACTCCCTTTAATTTAATATATTATGAGGTTATATGATGGTTGATTCTGTATATCGTATTTATACTCACGAGTGACCAAAGGGAACGAGTCCATGTTCATGCAGGAATGTAGGATGACCACCAAAGAATAAACACTCAATACAAGAGAAAAGCACAAAATACGAAGATGATGATGATGATGATGATAATGAATATGATGGTGATGATAACTATATTCGCGTTTTTCATTTCAAAAATTGATATGAATAAACTTCAAATTTCCATCAATCTTTCCAATCGACAACTGGAGAAAACACCGTACTTAAAGATCACGAATGCAGAACGACTAGACAAACCACTCCGATCTTTTAAAGTGGTTACGAACGGCCGATGCGCAGCTACGTGCACAGCAACGCCAGAATGCGCCTCGTATAATTTGCGGATGATAAACGACAAGATCTACAAAGCAGTTTGCGAATTGAATGGGCACAGCGGATCTCCCCCAAATCTTACGTCTAATAAAGTAGACTATTACGAAATAACAGGTAAAGAACAGATGATATTTATACATATATATTTAACAGAGATTAATACTTTTTAACTCGGGTTTTTGTGAGCTATTGCAATCAGTCACTTTTTGTCTGTCCGTCTTTCTATCAACTGCGATGGTTCATTGACATAGTTTTTCATAAAAATCTAAATAGTTCCATATATGAAATGTGTCTATATAAAATTCTCAATCATCCTATAAAAGGTGTTTCAAAATATGCAGCCAATTTTATTTCCGAATTTCATGGTTTCAATCTTTTTGGTCATACTTTCACAGGTATTTCAACAATTTAAGTGGTTTTAGTTTCAAAATGAGTGTATACATACTCAATTGTAACATCAGTAGTGTCGCCAATGTTCGCCTCGTTTCAAAATGGCAGCCAGTTTTATTGCAGAAAGGGTTTTCAGCTGTTTTGATCATAACGTCACAATTATCACTTATTTGATTAAAACCTTCTTGAGATGACACCAGTATAATGTAATTCATTCTAAATTATAACACATGAAGATTTTTTTCATTTGTAAACAATGTTAAACAAATACTTAGTGGATAAATAGTTATTAAATTACTTGGATAGTCACAGAAAAATTACCTACTATAAAGTAAGTTAGTTTCAAGTTTAGCAGGTTGTGAAGTAATTATTCAGTTGATATTTTACGTGTGTTAATAATCATTTCATCTGTGAAGAATTCGCATTGCATTTACATTCCTCGATTATTAGTACCATACATATTGTATTTACTTATGTTCTGTTGTATGATCTATTCATTAATGTATTGCCTTTACTTCTGCCAGTCACTACAATTCATTCTGGATTTACCTTTGTACAGTGTTTATTATTTACTTTGGTCAAATTTGGTAATATGACGACTGAGGTATTGTATTTACTTCTCTCGATCCTTATTAAATATTACTTATATTTATGTACTGTTGTATAATTTATTCAACCAAGTGATTGCTTTTCCTTGTACTTTTAGTGTCAATCAATACTTGAATATTTCTTCAAAAGTATTCAGGCTTTTTTATCGTTTAACTTGGCTTGGATTTTCAGGGAGAGTATTTTGTTCTCAAATGCTTAAGTGCTGCAGTCAATGTGCCATCCCATAAGCGTATAATAACTTCACTAACTTACATTGCAGCCAACTGTTTTGATTTGAAATTTGACACATGACCTAAGGTCAGATGGGTCAAAAAACCTTTGAGGTTGAAAAATATTTTAGTTGATAGGGCCACACAATGACAGAATTGCGAAGGTATCCTATACAACAAAAAATTAAGCAATACCGAGAAGTGGTCACTACCAGATCACCTATTATATGGTACCAATTGTGCAAATATAAGCCAGAAATGATATATAAATGCAAGTTGATGATACGTCTGATCTCCTAGTAGGTGAAGGTGTCGGGCGTTACACAGAACCACATGTAAATAGAGTTTGTCCAATGTGCAACTCACCTGACACCTTGACTCATTTTATAAAAGAATGTGAAAAGATTGAACATTTAAGGGGTCCGATTCGACCATATTTATTGGCAAATCGGGAAATGATGTCAGCTTTGTTTGCACCCAGTTGTTTTGATGACTGTGTCCTGATTGCAAGGACGATATATCAGATGTATCAAGAGAGAATTAAGTCTCTCACCCTGTAAATAATAACACTAAAAGTGTATATATTATTTTATTTTCTTAAATCACATTGTATTAATAGAAAGTATGTATGATGATCAGAATTGGTCGCAATAAAGAAATATATATATATATTATATAACAAAGTCAAAAGGGGAAAAGAATTATAAAATTTCAACTGTGTGTGTTTCAGTTCCAGTTAACGGAGGCCCTGGTACATGGTCAGCTTGGGGAGCGTGCTCTACAACATGCGGGGATGGAGACCAAACTCGCATAAGAGCATGTGACAACCCATTTCCAGCTTATTGTGGAAGTCAATGCAATTCAAGTGATCTGACGGACATGCGGTCCTGTAATGAGTCAAAGTGCCCTGGTAATTATTGTATACAGCTAATACTACGATTTTGTTCACAATTTTCATTGGCAACATATCTGTCAATAAACCAGTCCCTAAAACGATTTAAAAAAATAATCTAAATAATATTGATTCTAATTGATACAATATATAGAATTGGATTGAACTTTTATGATTTGATAAATTGGAGCCAAACTCATATAGTTCACTGATCCTCTCTAATGGGTTGTACTTCCCCCTTATACCATTGGTTTTTGTGTAAAGAATACAAACTAAAATGAGGAATTGCTGTTTTACATCTTCAAATTCACAATCATATCTCTTTCACCTGCTAAACATTTCAGTTTGCCATTTTTGGACGTACCAAGCTGTGGGTTTCTGTTTTACTATTCCAGAGACAAATTAGAATCTATGTTTGTACAGTCATATATTTTACTAAATATTAGAAAATGTCTAACCAGACATAAACGTTTCTCAGTTTCTCACTACATTAAGCACCCCAGAACAAAAGGATTCATGATTATTTTAATTGAGTGTTTTTCGTCATTTAATCATAATAATCGTGACATGCACTGAAAATTGCACAAAATTCAAGATCAAGATTTTACTTTCTAATTTATGACATTGATAATGACGGCTTTGCGAATGGATGTTGACCCTTTGAATTACATATGGACTTCTAGAATGGATTTCTTCTGTTCTACATCATTTGAGACTAAATGCTTTATCTTCAATGAGTACTAGTGCCAACTGTTTTGTCATGAGTATTGGCTATAAATTTTTTCAATATTTCTTCAACTTGTATATATTGTAAAGACTTCAGTATGAATGCAATGCCCCTTGTTGTTCTGGTCCTGGATTGTGGTATTGGCTCTTGTCTAGGGTGTAACACCACTTTTTCAATTTATATCTTTCTATTTTTCTTAAGACAGGTGCACAATTAGAGTTTGCTTTTCTTGCTGGATTTCCTTCAGGTTTTTAGTCTTCCCTTTGGCGCTTGTGCTTAGATAAGCATTTATAATATTTTAGATAAACCTGGACCACCTGGTCTACCTTTCGTATTTGTACTCGACGACATAGCTAATGTTACCTGGACTCCACCCCACGATGACGGAGGCGCAATTATCACCAATTACAACATTGAAATGCGTCGTTCTGACAATTACAATAACACATGGGTGCGCGTGAACATGAACATATGTATTCCTGGGAACAGTTACTTGATGAGAAGTCTAACGGAAGATGTCGAATATGAATTCCGCATCGTGGCAGAAAATGAGGCTGGAACTGGGGAACCATCGCAACAATCAGTAAAATTCACATTTGGTATGTACTTTTTGTCTACATTCTAGGTGAACCAAGGGGGTTACAATACCCGGGAATTTATCGGTTCGTACAGTACTTGTTTGTTATATGCGTGCGCCCGCAGCTCATCCACTGAACGAAACGCCACTTCCCGCTGAAATCACCGGGTATTGATTTTCCCTTGGGTGAACTAGTTATTTTTGTGCATCGGTTTGATCTGTTCGTGCGATTGAGAAGGTGCAATAGAAGCTGGCCTGAGGAATAGACTATTATGGTACGAATGGGCGCATATGTATCAAGGAAAATCAAAGGTTATTATCTTACAAAAGTTGAGGACTTTGAAGGTAATATTAAATTCCACAAACTTAAATCTATCATGATAGGAAATATTGAGCAAACGGGCGGATGGACGAATGAACGGATAAATGGCCTTTCTATATCCCTGTGCTCAAAGGTTGTTCGGTTCGAACAAAATATGAGCCTGGTTATAGAAAAACCGGTCTTATCAAAGAAATTAAAATTGTGCTATAGAGCCAAAAATGTGCCCAAGATTAAGAGGAAAATGTGCTACATTCAAATACGACTTTTTGGTCTATATATGCAAAGAAGAATTGTTAAGACATAAGCCATGCCTCATTTGAAAGGTCTTTTTGTGCTTTTTAAGATAAACAAAAATCAGATCAAAGTGTATACAAAGTGTCAGATCGTTTATTTTTTAAGAACTTAACGATCGGTAATAATTTGTTTATTTTAATAAAATTTCAGTCAGGCCAAATGTTGTAATGAGAATACCAAGCCCTATATGGAGCCCTATATGGGATCTAACAGTAACCAGCCTAGGAAATATTGTTACAACAAGTACCCAACACTCTACATCAAAGATCTACAACCGCACGTTCCAACTGATTAAAGATCTTAACAAGAAGTTCATATGCGTAACCAAAACCTCAGATGGTCAACTGGCCTTTACCACAAATCCCTTCAGCAATATAATCCACTTCTACACCGAGAATGGGTCACCTATTCGTACCATCACATGCCCATCTGATATACGTCTAAATGGTATAGCCTCACTATCAGCAGGTGAACTGGTAGTGACTGATGGATACACCACCGGAGTTTATATTGTAGATTCTTCAAATGGGAACACCACACAAATCTCGACATCTGATGATATGTTCCAGAGTCCTACCTATTTGGCAGTTGACATTAGAAACCACATCATAGTCAGTGACTACCATCGACATTTAATCAAAGTGATCAACAGAGAAGGTCTTGAAATCATCCATTATGGCTCAGGGGAGGGGCAACTGATGGGCCCCCTCGGTGTCTGCACAGATATAAATGGATTCATCATTTTAGGGGAATTGGGAAACAGGGTACAACTCCTAACACGGAACGCAACGTTTCACAGTCTACTACTGACAGTAGCAGATGGTTTGTCCAACCCATACGCTGTACACGTGAACGAGGTGGGCGAATTGCTAGTGGGTGACTTTGGTGGCCAGCTGTTCGTTGTCAACTACCGAGACTAAGGTAAGTATGAAACAATAATGGAGTAACAGCAAATATAACATAGCATCATGGCATGAATGTTTTTATATAATTATTCGATTGAAAATAAATATTATAATGTAACTTAAGTATTATTTAAAAGTATGTCGAGAGAAAATATTGTAAACAACATGCTTTTTTAAATAGGTAAAGTCTATTGGCGTTAAAGAGTATACATAATACATACTTTGTTATATTTTTTCGTGAAGAATAATAATGAACTAGAAAATGATTAAGTTCAATTTATTTAAAAGTAAACAATATTACATTTTAGTCCTGCATCAAGAAGGCAGATATATCAGCCGCAGCAGCAGTAACAACAACAATAACACAAACAATAATAATAACAACAATTATAGGAACAAAAATGTGACTTTTTACAATAACGACCATTATGAACTGACGAAAAATTGTTTTGACCAAAACACAACATTATTCTACAACACGAAGTAAACATTGGTGTTTAATCAACATTTATATTAATTGTGTACATAAAGTTTATGTATAGTTATATTAGTAAGGAAAGGTGATCACCACACATGTAAATATATTCAAATCTTAGTTGCAATTTGTATTTAGATATCCTAGAATCCAAAATGTACAATATTTGGATGATGTAGAAGGTGATATATAGTGCGTCCAAAAAGGCAACAAACAAATACATTGTAGAATCACAAAACCAGTGATGATTACATCAATTTAATTTAGTTTAACAGGAAGCAATATGTCTCCCCTGTTCAATGGTATGCCAATTATTCATATACGACCACAGACCATTGAATATTATTCCTTTTGCACAACGGGCCAAAATCTTCTCTGGACCAAGTTTTAGACATTGCAACAGTTAACAAAGAGTCACCAATGAGGTTGCTGCTCTCCGCCAGAACCCCAAATGATTCAAAGAGGTGTGCGACGTGGAGACACAAACTAGTCTCTGTTTGTAGAGAAATACATGTAGTGGTCATGTGAAAGGGCATGGAATGTAATCTTTTATGAGTAATCTTTTATAGGATGACAGTCAACGACTGTTTATGCCACTTCCTTTTCCATATATATATATCCAACAAGGATACTGATGAAAATAAAATAAATAAATAAATTTTCTTTTTTTCTTAGTAAATCTTATGTAAATCTTGTGACAAGTTTATAATGATTTACCTAATTGCACATAGGATCAGTTGATTGATGTTTCAAAACTTGGCACAACGGCCTTTTTACCCATGTACGAAAAGACAATGACTTTCAGTGTTCGATGATCAGATATGAACAAATGACATATCATTGAAAGGGGGAGACAAGTGGCTTCACGGTAAACTAAATGAAATCGATGTAATCAACACTGGTTTTGTGATTGTACACTGTTTTTGTTTGCTGCGTATTTTGGGACGCACTGTTTTGAAATAATCGAAGAAACAGATGTGTTTTCATTTTCTTTAAACAATATCATGAACACATGAACCAGCCTTATCCTACATTTCATATTTGTTAAACATATTTGTAATTTGTACACAGTCTACTGTACTCAAAATGGTTTGAAACACAATGGTTAAAGCGACACTGTTTTTAAGAAATGCAAAGTATAGACGTGTATTGTCTCATTTTATGTACTCAGTGCTGATTAGTTAAATAATATATTAATCCCATACACAATATATTTTGTATGGCAATAAATTAGATGTATACATTAAGTCATAAGCACAGCTTGTTGTTATCTGTTTTGACCTTTTATTGATTTCTTCAATTTTGTATAAAATGGGTCAATAGCATTCAGTTATTCAATATCCAGTTATGACAGTTATCTTTAAGTCCAGCAAACATGTCATAGGATAAGCAGCCTGCATTATATATATCCTTGTCTTTTCATTGGTTAAGTGTCCAAAGAAGGAATTGTGGCGAAACATTTGCAGATACGAAGTGCAACTTTACAATGAAAATATGTCAATTCCTCAACAAAACATAAGAATACCTCTCACTTGCGCCAAAAAGTTAATTATATGGAGATTAGCACTTGGAAACCCTAGACTATTAACTATAGCCCATATTGTTGCCAAAGTAGTAGCACTTCCGGTAACATCAGTAAACACACTATGTGATAAATGTGGAATGTTCTACCAAGATCAATTAAATCATGCCTTGCTGAAGTGTCAAGCCTACAAGGAACACAGACAAGCATTCATCAATGCTATTAGAGCAATATCTGATAATGCATCCTTACACCTCGACAACATTAGTGCTATGTTGCAAGCTGACCTCTGCAATCTATGCGTAGAAGTGTCCTTCAAAATACATCAATAAAATTGTAAGGCTGTGGGACATCGATTTAACTCCACTATATCCTAAGATAAGTGTTAATTTATTTTATATAAAATGTAAATGTAAATAATGTTCATGTCAACTTGTATACTTGTAAAATGTGCTTATGTTTAAAAACTCCAATTACAAATTGGGAAATAAAATATACATACATACAAACATACAAGGGCAAAACAAAAAATGTAAAAGAACTCAGCAAGAAAGGGAAAATATCTAAGAGTACACCAGTCATAAGGAACACAAACGTCAACCATCCCAAATCATTATCGAACGTGAAAAGAAACAGTGTCTTATAACCACATCTCCAACCATTCCGGTTTCCTTTGCAGGATCAAAGGTATCTTCGATGTTCAACTTTCAACATTAAAAAATATTGAAACTAAAAATTCAAAAGCCTTTTTCATTCAATTTTTAATCCAAATGTTTAAACCAAAATGGTAAAAATCAAACCAAAATGGTCCAACAGTTTGAACTAAGAAATCGACATTGCACTTGCAAGATCATTTATCTATTCAAAAAGTTCAGCATTGTTGTGCGCTGTGAGGTTTTATTAGGACATACGCCCATGTAGATCTATTCATAGCTTCCATAGAGTCAAGTAGCGCTTTGATTCTTGCATGTGCAAATAAAGATTGAGATTAATTAAAAACACAAGCATAGTATTAAACAATTCGTAAAAAAGGATGCACTTAATTTGATTTATTTCACGGAATTAACTAAACCAACCGAAACAAATTAACAATGGTCATTGATAATTTCAATAAAGGCGCCCTTCATATATTCACAAAATAGTTTCTAAATGAATTGCTGTCAGTCGAAATCTATCATCGAAGCGTTTGGAAACGAAGTATTATTAAATCTGAGCGATCACACAAAAACAATGATACACATTGCCATTTGACACCTACTTTTGGGGATTAAAAAATAAAACTACCACATGTGTATTGTCGTAAAAACAATAGTTTTAGCTAAATACTTTACGGGATTTATTAGTATAACAAACCAACAACCATTTTCAACACATGTTTTTGTCACGGGTTCTCTACCGTTTCATTTGACAAGAGTTCCTTTTTTATTATTAGACTCCAGATGTCAATCTGGAGTCTATTGTTTTTGTCAGTATTCTTTATTATTCTTTATTAGACTCCAGATGTCAATCTGGAGTCTATTGTTTTTGCCAGTATTCTTATTATTGTTTATTATTAGACTCCAGATTGAAAATCTGGAGTCTATTGCTTTTGCCAGTTTTCTTATTATTATTTTTCTTTCAGAATCTTCCTCCTTACAAGATTTCTCATCAACTAGAAGAGCTTACTTTAAGCTGCTTACATGATCAACTAGGGAATGTATCTGGGATGATGGGAATTTAGGTCAAATTTTTATCTAGATCAAAGGTCAAGAACTAGGTCAAATTTAGGTCAAATCAACATTCTGTCAATTATCTTCGTTGTTGTTTGTCGTTACTCCTTCATCTTTTTTTCATCATGTAGCTTAGAAAAAAACAAATCGAGAATATGCCATCCGTTTTTTGATTATTCTTACCGATTTTGAGATATGGCGTCCAGAAAGTAGGTCAAACTAAAAAGTTAACCAAATTTAAAATATGAGCTATGAAATAAGTGAAGAATTTTCTCAGGAATCTGAATCTGCAAACCGAATTCCGATCCGTCTTCTGGTTCGAAAGTTAAGGCGTTTGGAAAATTTCGAGAAAAATCGATCTGATGATATCCTGATAGAAAGTCAAGTGTAGCAAAGAAAATATAGAAAAAATCATCAATCCTTCCTTCCTATCCTGTCTGATCATATCCTACCTATCTCTCCTTCCTATCTATCCTTTCCTTCCTATCCTATCCTTCCTTCCTATTCTATATCCTATCCTATCCTAGAACTGGGTCAAATCTTACATTTTCAATATTCTATCAATTATCTCCGTCGTTATTTATCGAAACATCTTCATCTTTTTTCATCATGTAGCTTATAAACAATCCTTTCATAAATGTGCCATCCGTTTTTTGATAACTCTTACTGATTTTGAAATATGGCGTCTGGAAAGTAGGTCAAAACAAAAAGTTCTCCAAATTCAATGTATGGATTATGAATTAGGGGTAGAATTTTGTCAGGAATTCGAATCTGCAAACCAAATTTCGATCCGACTACCGGTTCGGAAGTTATGGCGATTTGAAAGCTCAAAAATCGCTAAATTTGGTGCCCCATGTTATGTCAATGAGAAAAACGATTTTTTTGAAGTGTAAAATACCAGATATAAACTGAGTACAGCTTAACATTCTAAAAGCCTATAAAAGAAGGGGACCTCGAAGGCTATCTAGCTTTAAAATTTGGACACCAAAATGCCTAGGTCAAAATCTAGGTCAAAGTCATAGTTTTTCCTTAATTTTGCGATTCTGACATTACACTTTAATGATTTGCTTCGAAATTTTGTATACAGGTAGCAAAGAGTGTGCCTATAGTGTTAGCCTTCTGCCGTCAGAAAGTATTTTGACCCACTTTTGAGATATGGTGTCCGAAAAGTAGGTCAAAATAATTTTTTTTTCCAAATTTAACATATGAGTTATGAATTAAAGGTAAAATTCTGTCAGGAATCCGAATCTGCAAACCAAATTTCGATCCGACTTCCGGTTTGGAAGTTATGGCGTGTCCGAAAAGTAGGTCAAAATAAAAAGTTTCCAAATTTAATGTATGAGTTATGAATTAAGGATAGAATTTTCTCTGGAATCCAAATCTGCAAACCAAATTTCGATCCAACTCCCGATTTGGAAGTTATGGCGTTTTGAAATTTCGAGAAAAATCGATCTGATGGTATCCTGATAGAAAGTCAAGGAAAAAAGATTTTTTTGAAGTGTAAAATACGAGATATAGACTGAGTACAGCTTAAGATAATGAATTCCTATAAAAGAAGGGGACCTCAAAAGCTACCTAGTTTCAATATTTGGACACCAAAATGCCTAGGTCAAAATCTAGGTCAAATTCATAGTTTTTCCTTATTTTTGCGATTCTGGCACTACACTTTTAGGATTTGCTTCAAAATTTTGTATACAGGTAGCAAAGAGTGTGCTAATAGTGTTAGCCTTTTGCCGTCAGAGAGTATTTTGACCCACTTTTGAGATATGGTGTCCGTAAAGTAGGTCAAAATAAAATGAGTTATGAATTAAGGGTAGAATTTTCTCAGGAATCCAAATCTGCAAACCAAATTTCGATCCGACTTCCGGTCAAAAATTCCTACTTACCTACCTACTCGGCTACCTACTTAGCTACCTACTCAGCTACCTACTCCGCTACTTACTCAGCTACCTACTCAGTTACTTACTCAGCTACCTGCTCAGCTGCTTACTCAGCTACCTACTCAGCTACTTACTCAATTACTTAATCATCTACTTACTCAGCTTCCTACTCAGTTACTTACTCAGCTCTTTACTCAAGTAAATCAATCTGGAGTCTTAAATTGAACTTTGTTCAATTTACAAATCTAGTTATTATTCTTTATTATTCTTTCCCAGTTTTCTCGATAACCATAAGGTTTCCAATAAAGATCATTATTCAGTCAATTTATGTCCAGTATCTAGTTCCTCGGAAATTGGGTCAAATTTTTATCTAGGTCAAAGGTCAAGAACTAGGTCAAATCTTACATTTTCAACATTCTGTCATTTATCTTCGTCGTTGTTTATCGTAACTCCTAAATCTTTTTTTCATCATGTAGCTTAGAAAAAGCCAAAGCAAAGATATGACATTAGATTTTTGATTACGCTTACCGATTTTGAAATATGGCGTCCAGAAAGTAGGTCACAATAAAAAGTTCTCCAAATTTAACATATGAGTTATGAATTAAGAGTAGAATTTTCTCAGGAATCCGAATCTGCAAACCAAATTTAAATCAGACTTCCGGTTCGGAAGTTATGGCGTTTTGAAAACTCAAAAATCGCTAAATTTGGTGCCCATGTTAAGTCAATGGGAAAAAAGATTTTTTTGAAGTGAAAAATACAGAATATAGACTGAGTTCAGCTTCATATAATCAAAGCCTTCAAAGGAAGGGGACCTCAAAAGCCATCTAGCTTGAAAATTTGGACACCAAAATGCCTAGGTCAAAATCTAGGTCAAATTCATGGGTTCTCCTTATTTTTTCGATTCTGACACTACACTCTAATTATATTCTTCAAAATTATGTATACATGTAGCCAAGAATATACTAATAGTGTTAGCCTTTTGCCGTTAGGAAGTATTTTGACCCACTTTTGAGATATGGTGTCCGAAAAGTAGGTCAAAATAAAAAGTTCTCCAAATTTAATATATGAGTTATGAATTAAGGGGAGAATTTTGTCAGGAATCCGAATCTGCAAACCAAATTTCGATCCGACTTCCAGTTCGGAAGTTATGGCGTGTCCGAAAAGTAGGTCAAAATAAAAAATCTCCAAATTAAACGTATGAGTTATGAATTAGGGGTAGAATTTTGTCAGGAATCCGAATCTGCAAACCAAATTTCGATCCGACTTCCGGTTCGGAAGTTATGGCGTTTTGAAATTTCGAAAAAATCGATCTGATGGTATCCTGATAGAAAGTCAAGAGTAGAGAAGAAAATATTGAAAAATTCATCCATCCTTCCTATCTGATCCTATCCTATCCTTCCTATCTATCCTTCCTTCGTATCTTTTCCTTCCTATCCTTCCTATCCTATCCTATCCTATCCTATCCTTTCTTTCTATTCTATTCTATTCTATCCTATCCTTCTTTCTTATTCTATCCTATCGTTCTTTCCTATTCTATCCTATCCTACCTTCCTATTTTATTTATCCATCTTTTTCTGGATGACTCAGCTTATTCTGGATGACTCGGCTTATTCTGGATGACTTGGCTAAAAAAAAGTCTAGATCTGGAGTCTGAAATTGAACTTCGTTCAATTTCCAAAATCTAGTTATTATTATTCTTTATTATTCTTTCCCAGTTTTCTCGTTAACTAGAAGATATTGAGTCAAGTCCTATATATAGTCCATTTAGGTCCTAGATCTAGTTTCTCGGAAATTGGGTCAAATTTTTATCTAGGTCAAAGGTCAAGAACTAGGTCAAATCTTACATTTTCAACATTCTGTCATTTATCTTCGTCGTTGTTTATCGTAACTCCTAACTCTTTTTTTCATCATGTAGCTTAGAAAAAGCCAAAGCAAAGATATGACATTAGATTTTTGATTCCGCTTACCGATTTTGAAATATGGCGTCCAGAATGTAGGTCACAATGAAAAATTCTCCAAATTTAACATATGAGTTATGAATTAAGAGTAGAATTTTCTCAGGAATCCGAATCTGTAAACCAAATTTCGATCCGACTTCTGGTCCTAAAGTTATGACATTTTAAAACTTTTTTTAACCTGCCAATAACCACGCGCAAGATCGAAAAAATCAATATGATGGTATCCTGATAGAAAGTCAATAGTGAAGAAAATATTGAAAAATCCATCCATCCATCCATCCATCCATCCTATCTATCCTATCCTATATCTATCCTATATCCTATCCAATCCTATCCTTCTTTCCTATCCTTCCTATCCTATCCTTCCTTCCTATCCTATACTATCCTATCGTTTCTTCCTATTCTATCCTATCCTTCCTTCCTATTCTGAAAGGAGGGATAGGATACGAAGGAAGGATAGGATAAGAAGGATAGGAAAGAGGGATAGGACTGGACGACTTGCCTTATTCTGGACGACTCGGCTATATCCATCCCACCTATCCTATTCAATCCTATCCTTCTTTCCTATCCTATCCTTCCTTCCTTCCTATCCCATCCTTCCTATTCTGTCCTATCTTATTCTTTCTTCGGATTCTATCATATCCTATTCTATCCTTCCTATCCTATCCTATCCTTTCTTCCTTTTCTGTCCTATCCTTCCTATCCTATGAATTCATCCATTTATCCATCAATCCATCGGCTTATTCTGGATGACTCAGCTTATTCTGGATGACTTGGCTTATTCTGGATGACTATTCATCCCATCTTAGCCTAACCATCCTTTCTTAATATTGATAAGATAATATTGAAAAATAGCTGTCCGGTCTGTTGATCCGAACTGTTGGTCTGGTTTGTCAGTCGGTCCATCTGTCCGGTCTGTCGGTCAGTCCATCTGCTCGGTCTATTGGTCTGGTCCATTGGGTCTGGTCAATAGGGTCTGTATGATCTTTCAAATCCATCAGTCCGGTCAACGTTAGGTCAGTCTGTCGGTTGGTCCTCCGGTCAGTCATTCAGGTCAATTTTCCAGTTAGTCAGTCATCAGGTTGGTCAGTTGGTCATCTGGTTGCTCATTCAGTCGGTTGACCATTCAGGTCAGTCATCCTTTCGGTCGGTTGTCCAGTTGGTCAGTCAACGGTTCAGGTCAGTCATCTGGTTAGTCGGTCTGCCAGTAGGTCATCTGATCAGTCAGTCATCCAGTTGGTAGTTCAGGTCAGTTGATCAATCATCAAGTAGGTCAATCTGTCATTCAGGTTAGTCGGTCAATTGTCTAGTTTTGGATGACTTGGCTTATTCTGGATGACTCGGCTAAAAAAAGTCTAGATCTGGAGTCTGAAATTGAACTCGTTCAATTTCCAAAATCTAGTTATTATTATATTTATTGACCCTCCAATCCTGGAGATAATGTTTATTTACAGTATGTAATAAATGTAATAAGAATAACAATTACTATACATATTTGCTCATTGAGCAGTGACACAGCAGAAACCCCGTGGTTAGCACATATTCTGCCCTGGGGGTCCCTGTGTACAAAGGAAAAGATACATTATATAAAACATCAATTTACTTAGACATCACCAGGAGTGCCAATCACAGCCCTTTGTCGACATACTGGTTGGTACTTCAAGTTATAGTGCTGCTGTTCTCGAGCCTTCGAATGTACATGTTTTGCACATCTGTTGCAATGCATCTGAGATCTTCATTTGAGAGGGTATCATCTCCACCAAAGATGCATCGTAACTTAAGCATATTGGTCATGTGTCTACCATTTGGTATTCTACAAAGTATATTTATAATGTTAGTTCTTAAAGTGCTGTATTCGGGGCATTCTAAAATAAAGTGCTCCAGAGTTTCAATACGCTGCATGTCGCACATTTCACATGTTCTGTTAATCATAGGGACATTTTCCCACTCGCCAGTTATAGCTTTGAGGGTTCCGTGGCCAGTGAGCAGCCGCACCATCAGGGTGCATCTTTTAATAAAACTACAGTCCTGTCTGGCAATTTCCCACCATGCTATCGGTTTGGTACCAGTCACTATAGTTCGGTATAATGATAGCTTATCATATGTAATCAATTCTCTCCTCCATATGTTATATTCAAATGTCCTTACGATATTCCTGACATATCGTTTCCAGGTAGACTTTGTAGGAACTACGCCGTTACCCATCATATCATATATCATTTCCGATATTCCAAACCGTGACGCAAGTGTCATTATGTCACCTATAGGGGACAATTTATGCAGTGAAGTAGAATCATATCTGAACTTTATGATGCGCTTTATTGCTATGCTACGATAAATCGATCCTGGGACCTGGGAAAGAAGTTGTAGCAGAAACATCATTTTAGCTATTACTATAGTTGCCGTCATCGTATGCCAGCCTAGTTGCGGTAGTACAGCTGGATCAGATGTGTTTACTGGCAGGCCTTGTAGTTTCTTACAGATGCTTCTATGTCCCTGCTCTAACAACTTGTAATAATTTTCACTCAGTGGGACTAGCTCCATCCCATATGTCATTGAGGGCATGCTAACGGACCAATATAGCTTTGACGCAGTGAGGGGGTTAGTTGGATTCTGAGTATGTGTTGTCGTCCCCACGTAGGCGTTCATTGCTCTCCTTCCTTTGGATAATGAAGTCTCAATCAATTCTCTGTTACTGTTGTTATTTGACAAGGGAAGTCCAACATGTTGGGTTGTTTGGACTACTTCTAATCTGCGACCCCCCATCATCAGGTCTATCCCGGTATGTTGCGTAGCACGATTGTTGCTGAATACAATAACCTTACACTTATCAGGGTGATACTTGAAACGCCATTTTGTGCTGTACTGATGCATTATGTTTAAAATGTCCTGCATTGTCTTCCTATGATAAGAAATGATGACTGTATCATCGGCATAGGATGGACATGTACATACTACATCCCCCACAGAACATCCTTTCTCTGAGCCAATCACATCTAAGAGTAGCCTATTCATATACTCCCCGTAGAGCTCCATGGAGTAAAGCCCTCCCTGGTGGACTCCCTGAGAAATTGGGAACTTGTCTGAGAGTGTGACGTCATTTCCACACCTTACTGCACACTGGTAGTCACTGTAGCATAATCTCAACATCCTCCAGAGCTTCCCATTTATTCCAAGGTTAAAAAGCTTGTAGAAGAGGCCATTGTGCCAAACCGTGTCGAAGGCCTTGCTAATGTCCATTGTGACCATTATGACGTCATTACCATTCTCAAGTCCATTACATATAGCTTGTCTTGTCAGAAACGAGGTGTGGAGGCATGACGTCATTGCCTTGTTTGCAGCCTGCATCTCTGACTTCGGCTCGTTCCTATGGCATCTTCTGCTCCGGGTTACCATTATCTTCTCCCATAACTTCATGAAAGTCGTCATTAGCGTCAGGCCCCTATGGTTGTCCTTCTCCAATATATCCTTGTTTCCTCCTTTGAAGATGGGGATTAGTACCCCAAGCTTAAAGCTACTCGGGATGTGCTCTAATCTTATAATATGGTTGTACAATATGACAAGTATGTGCGCAAGGGCGTCCTCACCAAAGCGTAAATGTTCAGTGCTAATTTCATCCCACCCTGTAGCCTTATTCCGAGAGAGGCTGTTTATTAGGTCAGTCATCTCAGTGTAATCTAATGGATCCTGTAGCGCTTCATCCTCATTTGTAAAACTGTCCCGTATCATATCTATTATCCTTGAGTTAATTTCATGTTCATGTTTACCATCATAACTATGCTACACCTCTCATCAACATTAGATGTCGTACACATTTTAAAATCTAGAAAAGGACGATTCTCGGTTTGGAGAACGAAGTTCATCAATCTAAATGAGCATTATCCCTGCTTCGGACAAATTTGATTTTTTTACATAATAAAGATTTGAATGTCTTCCTTTGAATAGTCATAACTTAATTTGGGTAATATTTCTAGATTTTTCGCAAAAAAATATTAGCGCAGTACACTGATGAACTTCTTTCCCCAAATCGAGACTTGTATTTATATTGAATCGGTCTATTTGAGCATTATCCCTGCTTCAGACCAATTTGTTATCTTTACATCTTGTAGATTTAAATGTCCTTTTTTGAATATTCATAGTTTAATTTGAGTAATGTTTCTATATTTTTCATGAAAAAATTATTAGCCCAGGAGACTGTTCTCCAAACAGAGAATCGTCCTTTAGATTCTAATCACAGTCATAGCATTTCACATAAATCAAAATTCGTTGTGTGTTTTTTTTCAAAACTAGGAGCAGCGGTATAAAAAGATAATACCATTGCGTATGTGTCTACCCATCAATATATATCATACACGGGAAGGTTAAACTACTTCTTTTGAAAGGATCAAGCTGTGTATTTGTGCAATAATGGTATATTTAAATTAAGATAAACAATATATTTGTGTTTTTAACAGAATCGTCACTGGCCCATAGTACACCACTTCGATTCATTGCTTTTCTCACCAATTAACAGTAGTTCGAGCGAAGAATTCGGTTCGGGGTTTTTTGAAGATTTCCCAGGATTTTTCCAGTCCAAGCCCTATTTAAGAGAATGAAAAGTCAATAAATATGGTTAAATGTATGAAATCACCTCTGTATAAAGACGTCCGGCACCTAAGGTTTATCTAAACACTTACATTAGCAGGGGTTAATTATCTACGGTTTATCTACATTAAGATAGACAGTCACTTGTGCCACTATCCGGTTGTACAAAATTATGGCTACAAAGCGAGTGAAATTGAGGACAGACCCTTGTAAGGTACCGTAATTCACGTTTTTGTAACAGCCCGAGTGCAGTTTCAAATACAAAGCAAAACTTACCCGGATTTCAAATAGTTCTCAACCTGGGATACTGTTGCTGTTGGGTAAATACTGTAAAAACACGCTGCTACTCCAGCCTATATAAAGATTTCCAATAAAGTGTGTAAAATAAGTCAACTTTAAAATATATGTACACTTTATTCGGACAAAGATTATTTTTTATTTTCAGCTTTATACTGTACTAGAGTATACATATCATAAAGTATTCTAGAATTTTGTTTTTTAATAATTTCCTGAAATGTGAAATAAGCGTGTGATATCATAATACAGAGTCTGTTACACTGCTTCAAAGGCAAGCAGTTGAACCTGAAATATAAAAAATCTATAGACCATTGTGCCATTATATATAGAAAAATATATTCATATTGCACACGAATGACATTTGTATATTTCAGATTATTTAGTGTTTAGTGCAATAAGCCTGTGCCCTCTTGTAATTTGAGGTCTGTCCGCCATGTTATCTTTTTGAGAATTAACATGGTAGAGAAGCATCAAAATATAAGAGGTAACAGACTTTATGAGCCAATTTACAAGCAATCCATGGCATATACAAATGTCATTCATGTGCAATATAAATATATTTTCTATATATTATTGCACAATATTATTTAGATTTCTTATATTTCAGGTTAAACTGCTTTCCTTTGATGCAATGTAACAGACTTTACAGGCTTATTTCAACTGTATCGCTTAGTTAAAGAGGATTGGCTCCCAGGATCGAAACTCGATATTTTCCAGCAATGAAAACGTCAAAAGTCGTGTCGTTATTTTCTGAAATTATAACCGACTTCAACACATATTAATGGCCATATTAATATACACTATTACTACATTATTTGGTGAACCTATGCCAGAAGGTGTATTTTATGACATATATCTTAAATTGCAGACAATAGATGTACAAGTATATGCCATTTTGTAGGTATTTCTGTCGTGAATTCAAGTTATCTATATTATTTATCCTCCAAACATTAAAATATCATCTAAAATATAAAATATCAAAATTATGTTTAGATTATTATTTTTAGAAATGAAATTACTTAATAGGAGCAATTAAATGATCTTTATTTAATTTTTAATCATTTCAATTGTCTTTGTAAAACTTTATTAAACATGTGTTGGACGATACAAAATGACTTTAAATGATGTGAAATATAAACGTACAGTCGAAAGTTAGTTGTATTCGTCTGTTTATGTTTATATTTAAATTACATCAAAGTATGCGTCATTGCCAAATCAGGAAACAATATATTTTCGTTTATCGTTCAATAAGTCTGGTTTAATTTCGTATCAGATATTATTTATCACATTTGTGAGTGTCAAACAAACAATATACACGTTTCCTTGGATATAAGTATTGAATTATAAAAATAAAATTGTAAAAAGGGTCAACGTTAAAATTATTAGCCGCAAATTATTTTTCGTCTCCAACCCTCTGAATTTTCATGTTCGCCCCGGGTGTTGTTTAGCATGCCCCCCACCCCCGCGGTTACCAAAAACTTGCTCCGGAAATGTTGCTCATATTGCATGTGAAATGTGCAATTGATGCAATCATTTTTATTGGAATCGATATAAAAGTATTTCAACACTTACAATGGCCAATTGATGTGCAAGCAACATTTATCATTTCGGGTAAAGGCCAAACATTCATCACAGGGAACGACAAACAGCATTCAAAATATGATATTATGAAAAAAAAACACAGCGTGCAGTGGGTAATGAGGGAATGAGAAGCATCATCAAAAGTAAGTTGTATGCTTATGTGTCGGTCATGGAAATAAAAAGAGAGCATAGCATGTTGAATAGAAATGTAAAGGTTACATGCATCACTATTCCCGCAAAGTTATAACATGATCATCTGAAAAACGGAGTGAAATATGTTAATTTTTCATTTCTTTGAAAATTGCTCAGGTTACGAAATGTCAATATAGTTCCAATGATGCCGATTGCGAACTTATAAAGTATAATGTGTTTCCTTTGCAATTCAAGGAAAAATCATCGCCATATAAATATTTTATAATTTTCGAATTTTGTATTTTTGAAATATCTATCGTATATTGGCCCATCAATTTTGCACTCTGGGAGCCAATCCTCCTTGGTTTACTTGCCATGATTGCTATTACTAAATTTTATACGAGACTGTATGTTACGTGAGCATTATTTTGTATAGCGATTGCGCTAATGAAAGTACAGTGTATACACACACAAAAATAGATATATCAAATCTCACATTGTGAACGGAAAGATCTTACTACTTACCACGTGAGGGGCGGCAAAGGATGTCCCTGAAAACGAATAACCTATATGGAATATACCGTTTGTATATTTTATGCATATTTCAAAGTTTTAAGCTACAATTGCTTGTTAGATATTTAATCATCGCTTAAATTGAAGTTAATATTATCTAAAATGGAAATTAATATTCCAAAATTATTACACAACATCGCTTTAATATAGATGAATATTTTAGTGCGTTGTTACAAAACTAAAAATTAGTGCGCGAAACTTACCTTTATATGTTCCGTAGCAAGAATTACATTTATTCGAAGAACTTCGAATATTCTCACCCTAAAATGCACATATTTACAACACAAGAAGAATTATATTTATATCACAGATCCTCCAAAACATAGTAATTTTTTAACAAAATATTATACATGTATGTTGGTGATTCCACTCTGGGTTGATTCATTGACAATGGATATTACGATCAATAATATATACATATAGTAAGTTTATCATTATTGTATAATAATTTAACTATTGTATCAAATAACATCCCATTATTATCTGCGATTCAGCTGCTTATTATAGTCTACGTAGTACTATATAAAACTGGATTAATACCAGGTATGCGCAACTTTATTATAGATATGCAACCTTCGGTATATATAACAAAATCAAATATTAACATCCCAAAAGACTACGTCAATGATATAGTTCATTAGAAGAAACGTTAATTATAAGACTTATATTATACTTACAGGGCCTGCACAGTCAACCACTCGACCGTAGTTTGAAAATGAACTGAGGTAATCATTCGAGTTTACACTAGCAACGGTGAATCTAAACATATAATCAATTCAAAGTTATCTGACAAATATGGACATTTTGCACGTTGAGAATGAAATTTGGGCTAGAATTTTGGTAACGATAGTACAATGACGTCATTTGAAGAGCATTATACAAATATTGGATGATCAGGAGCTGGTTATGGAAGAATACAATTGTTTTCAAGGATAGGTATTCTGGCCATATCGAGCTCCTGATCATTGAATATTTGTTTTATTATGTGCCTTATATCAATCTTGTGTGTGCTACGATGTACTTACATTCTTTAGTTTTTTCCAAAATCTCTAACGACTTCTGTCTAGCTATTCACAGAACGGAAAATCGCTGTCTTGTCCCAGGATTTAATTTACATTTATTTCAGGTGTTCTTGCAGAATTATTCGTAATGTTTGAATGATAAGGCCCGCCACTATGACATCGGGATAAATTAATCTCCTGATACTTCTGATTTAGAAAGATTATGACTAAATGAAAATATTCAGTCGACGAGAGTCGACGATAAACACTGATACTGTCATGCCTCAATGGCAGTTAGGACAGCATGACGTAATGGCAACATATTCCAGACAGTTGTAACTCTTTGAGAGTACTTTCTAACAACAAAATAATAAACAGAAGAAGTTTCTTCTTTAAGTAAGAGTCGGAGGATAGAATATGAATTGAACTACTAAAAAACTTTTTTTAGTTAATGTTTTAACTATATAAAATGCATTTAAAACTGTCAAACATCCTAATCTTTATTTAGCATCTTATTACAATGGCGTCTAAAATACCAGGCATCTTACTGCGCAAAACGTACGCCTTGACAGAAAAAATGCTGCAAGGGATGATATGTCGGGTGCCCCCCTCCAAATAAAAGTGACAAGTATTTTGTCATCTGCATTAGATTAGCCGAATAATTTTATATTTTTTTATCATGGAATTAGAGGGTAACATTAGAATATAAAGGATCGTTGCTATGAAGGAGGAGGAAAAGTATCCCAACATGTTTCGGACTGTTATATGTTGGATTTTGTCTATTTTCTGAGGATTTAAACAGGTGCATATATTAGGCCAATGCATAATCCCAAGGAAAAGCACCCATAGAGATGATAAAATAATTTCGACTTCGAGACAGGGGAGATGCAAACAACCCACCCACTTGTTTTTTCTGAAATGTTGTCCTGATTTTCAACCCCTTCCACCAATACTTTTTTAATTTTTGTTGCATCAATATGTTGCGTTTTAAGATACAGTTAGCCCTTTAAAGGTTTAAGTGATTCCTATTCGATAAAGTGGAAAACAGTATTCCCCATGTTATTTTCCCATAGGGGAAACTCATGCGATCCATTGCTTTCAGTTGATTTTGGTCACCCAAGGTGGATATTTTTGAAACCCCCGAAGGAATTACTTATTCCTTTAAACACTTACCATGTTTTAATAAATAGGCGATAATAATGTTACCACTGATCATTCCATGCGTACTGACTATTATCATAGAATAAAATTAATATGATTCAAAAGTGTGTCTACTTACGCCGAAGGTTCACCGGCAGGTGATGCTCGTGACGCGTCTCGGTTGTCATTACCGGCTGCAACACTTACAAATATACCCTAGAAGTAAACAATATTGTCTTAACGTTCTTTCGACATTCCTGTGCTCCCAAACTGATTTCAAACTTACATAGCTTTAACTATTTTCATAAGAACCCCCCCCCCCTTAATATTGACATTATATCGCCCTGATTTACTCACCTAATTTCACTTTCATTACTAAATTTATATCCTAAGGGTACATGCATGGGGTTTTCAAGAGAAAGTCCAAGTGAAAAGTCCAAGAGCCAATGTTACAAATGGAATAATATCTCATCTTAAGTGCAGCCTTGACTGTGTTGAAGGAATAAATTATGAAAATATTAGTCCAATTGTTTATCAAACTTAAGTTTTTTTTAAATAAAATTACATTATCGACTGCATCTTTTACTGCCAAATCCAATTTGTCAAATTTCGGACCCCCAAGCGACAGACTATAAGTACAAACATGTAAAATATAATACTTGGTTCTGTTACATATGTTGAGCCTTTCTATTTGGCACTTGTGTGACAATACAAAAAAAGAAAAAAAATCTATCTCAATAAAAAAGAAACGAGCATGTTTTGCATTGATTTTCAAGAAATGTATACCCTAAAGCTAAGTTCACACCAACGGCGCTTTGATGGCGCTTTAATGCGACGTGCAGAGCCGCTTGTGGCTTTGCACCCCGCATTAAAGCGCTATCAAAGCGCCGTTGGTGTGAACTTAGCTTTAAGAGCAATATAATGCTGTCTGTTGTTGAAATTATTAAAGCTACAGAACAAAACTTCGATGAGAATTTAACATGCAAAATATGAAAAAGGGACTTTATTATACACCCAATATGTAACACTAATCCTGATTGGTCAATACCTACTCACGTGTTCCGAAATAGATTTACTATATTCTTTCGAAAGTTGTATTCCATAAATGTAAGAAGCGGGAATATTCATTTGAACTATTGCCCGCTGACGTCACGATTGCACCTTCTATTACCCTTTGGAAAGATTTTTCTGTTTTTCGCTGCGCATCACGGAAAACAGAAAAATGTAGGATGAGCACAAACACAAATCAACTCCGTTCACCATGAGAGACGTGCGTGAAGGTAAGATCACACCAACGGCGCTTTGATGGCGCTTTAATACAGAAATAAAGCTCTTTTAAGCGCTATCAAAGCTCCGTTGGTGTGAATTTAGCTTGAACGATACAAAATAAGCAACTTTGATAAAGTTCCCTAAGCTCAATACAGTACGTCTGTGTAATATCAAGTGTTATGATAATCTATTTCGCGTGTTAAACGCGATTGAATTTGTCAAGTGAGAGTCTCAGAAATTTCTTAGGCAAATATTTCTGTTGAGCATATGATGACGTCAGAGCTTATAATGCTAACAATAGACCCGGGGAGGGGGCTTTTTAAGCATTCTGGTCTTCGCAGAGGAGACGGGACAAGAGTCAGTATAGGGTATATAATAAAACAAATAGTGACTGCCTAATTTCGACCAATAGTGTAAATGATTTTTTCTTGGGAATATCCTCTAAAATGTACCATTCCCTCAGTCTGCGGCTTCGGGAATAGTATATTTTAGAGGATATTCCCCCGGGGAAATAATTTACACTATTGCCCTCAATGGCAGTCATTATTTGTATAATGTTCCACATACATGTGCATAAATGTATTTTGGCTTTTATGCTCAAGTATGCCTGTCATTAGCAGGGGAAAATATTATCAGACTCAATCTCTATACATTGAAATATATGAGCTTTTTTCTCTCAAAATTACAAATATACAAAATTAGTGCATAAACATTTTGGAATTATTTATATTACAATGGCATATGCTAAAATTATTTTAAGCTTTTTAGAGGTTTTAATACGTTTTGGCTATGGTCTGTCATTATACAAGTATAAACAATGTTTTTGCTTGATCTCTGGTGATGATAGGAATAAATCCGATTGAATAGGAAAACAAACTAATATGTTTGCAATCATAAATTTTCCTAATATTTTTTGTTAGATCTGCTCTCCAATCTTTGAAAAATAAACAAAAGCGAAATACCTCACTAATCAGACACTGACACTTAGGAACATTACAATGCATTTTTACATAATGAAAATCCATTGTATTGCATATCTCTTAAGATTCACGGTCTGTTGCATATAAAATGAATGAAAATTCGAATGAAAACGTTTATGTTTTCTAACCCATTACGATGATAGACATGTTTCGACATGAAAGATGTACGTTTTTCAGAATTTTTTTAAAAGACTATTGAAACATGTTGATGCATTGTTCAAATGTTGATGCGCTAAGTGCTACGGATTTTTCATATTATGAATTCATGCAAGGACTATTCATTGAGACTCTAGTTATGAATCTTCATGCTATGTATCATTTGAAAGTTAATATGAGGTAAAATTATTCTTCTAAAAATGATAATATATGATAATAATATATGAAGTGAGATATTGCTAAAGCTAAGTTCACACCAACGGCGCTTTGATGACGCTTTAAAGCGGCGTGCAAAGCGCCGTTGGTGTGAACTTAGCTTAAGCTATTGGATAATTATTGTTGAACATACTTGATAACCGAAGGCCTATTTCTAGTCCCTTTCATCACAATGGCTTTGTTAATCGCTGCTATAACATCACTATAAAAATAAGAGACAATTATAGCATGACATTTAATATGAATTGAATAGATATATGGAACAAATATTGACATTAAAACGATGTAAAAATTATTTTATTGAGATGACATTTAAAGCTATCTCCTGATAATATTGATACAAATCATTTATAAATACCATATTCTGTTCCGATGGCATATTTAAGTTTTAAATTACTTATGAGAAACGGTGTACACTTTGACTGCGTTGTTAGACTGCGGGTGGGCGAGTGCATTGCATAATATATGATAAGCATTCTTCCCAGTATCACAAAAAAGAACAATGAGCCAATGCGTTGCAAATTACACGCTCACACGTTTTCAACAAAAGTTCACCTTAAACCGCTTATCACGCTGTTGCAACCGTATCGATTGTTCACTTGTGTCAACCGCGCTGGGTTGTTGCTAGTGAACCACAGGAGTTCGATTGCAATACACCGTGATTTCTTTCAAAAAAATGTTGTGAGTGATAGTGCGCTTGAATGAGATTTTGTTGTTGAAAACACATGAGCATGCAATGAGCATTGCAGGGCTTATTGTTCTTTTTAGTGATACTAGGTAATTTACTTGCACCGTGGGCATACAAAACCACAGTATTTATTTAGACATACAATTGTTTATAAATGTGTCTCAGCCAATCAACTTAGGACATTTCAATGCGTTTAGTGATCTATTTATCTGTATATGCATAAACATAAATTTCCCGTGCTATTCTAATTTCGCAATGTACTAATGCCTGGGTCACATTTGCTCTGATCCATCAGCCGGCGGCCGGCCCATTGAGTGTTTTGTTCAATATTGTAATGTATGTTCAATTATAAGATATTATTGAGTCAATTCATAGATGTCGCTCATAAGTTGAATCTTGGGGAAAAAGCACATGTGTGCCATATGAGGCAAAATATAGATACCACCATTGATTTAGACTGAAATGATGTCTGTGTTTGTTATTGACAAAACTTGTATATATTAGGCCTCCAAACTTAACAAATATTGTACTCAATTTTGAACAAAATACTCAATCGGCCGGGTGCCGTAGTGAAAATCGTAGCAATTGTGACCAAGGCATTGGAGAGAGTACTATTCTTAAAAAGGGGCGATGGCGTATTATTAATAAGGTAATTTCAGTCAATACAATGATTTTGAACTAAGTGTTTTCATTTTTTGTAACCTTCAGCATCAAAACAATTAATTTACTTTCCGAAGATATTTTGATAAATAAAACCTTCCAAATAGTTTCCAATTGAATACCAATTGTAACTCAACACCCCTTTATAAATGAATTTCTAAAACATTAACCAGTCCAGCTTAATGCTCTGTCGCGCCCTCTACTGAAACAAATAATACGGTCATTATCTTTGAAAGAAAACTATCTTACAGATGTAAATGGTGATCTTGGAGTTGTGCTATAAGCACCGATGCTTTTAAATTTCCAATTTAAAATAATACAGGATTCGTTATTCCTCTAATCAATTACCCCAAAGACATAAAAATCAAAATACTTCGAGCTCAGATTGCGAATCAAATATGATCGAATAACATATATTGGTACAAGATATATAAAAAACAAAAAAAAAAACAAATAAAGAACATTATATACATAAAAAATTGGTTCAATGGCGTGTGCAGTATTAAGTTTTGAGTCTCACCCGGATGTTCCAGAGCCATCCGCACGCAATACTTTAAATGCGATAATAGTCCCCTTTTTGCATACACCAGCGTTTGTTCCTGCAACGATCCCTACAATAAGATACACTTCTAAAGTTTTTGCCTAAAGTGGAATCAAGTACACCCCAGCAACTAAATTCATTCCGTGAACCGGCTTTGCACGCCGCTTTAAGGTGCTATGGAAGTTAACAGGAAATGACAAAACAGGAAGTGACATTTGCATTTTTTAGACATTTTTTGAACAAAGATAACAGAGTTCTGCTTTGACCTCCAGTCAATTCAACTAGTTCCAAATACCATTTACAGGTCAAGGATCACAATGTTTATGGTCAGAATGACCCTAAACATGATGAAATAACCTTTTCATCCCTATGAAAATGTGACTGAAAAATAGCTAGGAGTAGTAAGAGGGTAGGAAAGGATACTGAACAGAATCTTTTGAATTTTTCATAAAATGTGCCCAATATATTGGTCTAAATGATACAATCTTTGAAAATTTGATATCATTTATGGAAAAAGAAACAAAATAAAAAAACTGATTTGAAAAGCGATTTATTTTCCTTTTTATCACTGCCATTTTTGTTTAAGACAATTTTCTAAAATTTCAAAGATTGTAACAGTTAGAGCATTACATTGGGCAAATTTTCTGAAAAATTCAAAAGATTCTGTTCAGTGACCTTCCCTAGCTCCTACTTTTAGCTCTTTTTCAGTCACACTTTCAAAGGGCTAAAAAGGTTATTTCATCATGTTTAGGGTCATTCTGACCCTGCACATTGTGACCCTGGACCTGTAAATGGTATTTGGAACTAATTGAATTGACTGGAGGTCAAAATAGAACTCTGTTATCTTTGTTCAAAAAATGTCTAAAAATGCAAAAAAATTATCACTTCCTGTTTTGTCATTTCCTGTTAACTTCCATAGCACCTTAAAGCGCCAACAAAGCGTCGTTGGTGTGAACTTAGCTTTAGGCTTTGAAAAGGGGTGGAAATCACTTTGATAGCTATATACAACCTTTAAACATAAACAGAATTTAATACGATGTGTAAGAGGAACGCGTGTCAAATTCCCTGCTCTCTCCGGAATGTTAGCCTCGCCCAAGCCTTTGGATTACCTGATACGATTGTTCCATGACTGTGGTCATCATTGGGAGGGTTATTCTCATCCACAAAATTATAGCCCTGAAATCAATTTTAAATTGAGAAAGCCAAACAAACACTCGTACTGAAATTGTTCAGTTAAAATCATGGTAATATTGATACCAAAGGTCCATGTGCAGTATGGCAAGTGATTTTTTAAAAACTTTATCGCATTTCAATACTCATGCCCTTTGCAGAAGTTATCAATATAGAGTAGAAAAAACTTTTGATAGACATAAATTCAGAAAAACATGATCCTCTTTTTTTCAGAAAATAAGCCTTACATTATTAAAAAAAGTGACAAGGTGGGGTTCTAATCCATAATTTTTCAAAGAGTTGAATTGATATTTTATTATCAAGGGGACTTCACTTTAAATAAAGTATATTGTTTTACCGTAATAATTCTAGTTTTCTGATTCAGACCGCTAATATTTATCATTTACGCATTGTTGTGAAAATATCAAAAGGACATACAGATACCAGATAAAAAAAATTCGGAAAAACAATGGATATTAGGAAATCTCTGGCACTCAGATAATTTTGGATTGACCGAGATGGTTTCGATCTATGTTTGCATAATAAACACTATTTTAAGGGAAATATAACGATGTTTTTGAAATTAACATTTAAAGTCAAGCGTTCAAAACATATCTCCCGTCTATACGTTTATACTCACGGCAGTTGTATCTATTTGTCCTGCTGCAAATTCAATATGGCTCGAATATATTCCTCTGGAAATAATAGATTTGTTGATTAAGATCAAATCATTTTCAGAACTGACTTGTTATCAACTCAGCTTGGTACGTGTAAAACAGACATAAATAAATAATCATCAGTTTGTTAAAAAACATGCATTTATGTGCAACAATTTTTGATTGGCTTTAATAACGTAAACATATTTGCAAGCATAATGATTATGGTCTGAGGTCCAAAATCTTAATTGAAGCAAATATCAATAAACTTACGTATCTATTACATACGTATCTACCCCATTTCCCTCTCCTACAAATATTTAAAAAATGCGACATCATTGTATAATAGTATATAATATATGAAAATGTACTGCTTAATGTTATTTTACAAAACACATCTCATAGTAATAAGCACAACATACTACTAATTATAACACTACTCTGTGACTATACTTCTCTCCGACATGACAATCATGTCACTTATATTAACCCCCTCCCCCAACACACACACGCACGCACGCACGCACGCACACACGTTCGCACGCACGCACGCACGCACACACACACACACACACACACACTTGCAGGGTACTGAAGTCATTCTTTAACATAGCAAACTTACCGAATACCGAAAATTGGTTGTCTAGTGGGATCGGATTAGGTTGGTTTATTCTATCCAAGCCCTGAAACAAGAAAACTATTACTCAATTCTGATCACATATATTTATTTATTTATTTATTTAACTCGACACCCTCATTGCCAATGATATAATAAGTATGTTTTTGAGAAAATCACATATTACCCATCTTGGTGTGGATGTTAGCTATGTATTGAAATCCTGGCAGTCTCTCAACTTTATATTGTAATTTGTTAAAATGATGAACAGGAATTACCCAGTAATTGCCTGACAGAATGTAATGTTCGATGAATGGGCTACTGCAGGTTGGTGGAGTGGTAGTTGTTTTTCCTTTCCTTTTGCCTTTGCCTACAGCATAGACGGGCGTATCCTGTACAATCTCTCTGACCTCTGGATCGCTAACTAGCATGCATAATGTACTAAAATAGAATACAGAAAATATAAAATCAAAGGAAGCCGGTGTTCCTCAAAGTCCCCGAGATTCAACATTCTCATGAAGATCCCGCTAAGTTGTTTTACTAGCTAACTGATAAACGATATACTCAGGGAATCAAGCGACATTTCTTTTTTAGCAGAACTGGGATGGTATAACTCTACTACTTATAATCCACAATCCGACTCCCCCACTCTCAATTTTTCAACATTTCTTTTTTGTTTTTTTGTGCCTCCTTTGGCGCAAAAACAGAGGGGCAAAGTCTTGATAGTTGGATCTTAAAATTCATATAATATATCGATTGTAACCTTTCTTATACTTTAACAATATAACCAGATGATTATTGCATTTAGCATTTTCAATTATCTCTCCAATATGACTCAATCCATGAAAATATAGCCACTTTTGACAATGTTATGATTTCTAAATCTAGAAAACAGTTGCAAAGTTGCAAACGCATTCTCTTCACGAATTTGAGAGAAAAACATTTGTCTTCAAAAACTACTCATTGAATACATTGCATTGCATATTCCTGAGTGTTTATGCACACTATGGTAACATAATTATGACGATAGCTTCTTCCAAGTTTAGATATAGTTTTTAATTCTCCTCTTCCCCAAATTTTCAAAGTCACTGATTTAATGTTTATGCCGTTGCTAGGTGGTTGCTAGGCAAAATCATGGACCAAAATTGTATTGAAATAATACCAAGTCAGGCATTTATTTATTTTCTTACTGATAACTGATTGGCATTTTCTGTACATCTTACAATACGAATGCTTCAGACAAAAAACTTAAAATTGAAATTTTTGATTATTCAATTTCGCGTAACATTGATTTCAATAGGATTTTGAAAGAACCTAAGTTCAGTTATAGAAAATCGTTTACCTTGATTTAAGTTTCATTTGAAAGATAGCATATAGTTCCATTAGGAAGCGTAGTATTTTTGCACCAAAAAATTATTTCGAAAGAAACTTAACATTTTATCTTAAAATGTAAAAAATGTACACCAACTAGGTCGCGTTAACTTCGATTTGTTGGCCAACTTTTTCAAATAATGCAATGTGTCTTATTTGCAAAGTCATAACCTCCTTGGACACTTACAAGGTGCCTTTCAAAAGGGTAAGCGCTTAGAAAACCACATATTCACATTGAAAGGATTATGTAGTATGAGAAAGTCAAATAGGTTGAAAACGTATTTGTCATTTATTGATATCTCGAAGGCCTTTGATGTACTAGACAGGGATATGCTCTTCATAAAGCTTTGGGAACGAGGAATCCAGGGTAAACTTTGGAGAACGTTAAAACACCTTTACTCTAATGTCCATAGCAGTGTCCTGTTTGGTAATATTTCTACTGATCAGTTTGAGTCCAACACAGGTGTTAGACAAGGGTGTATTCTCTCACCTACATTATTTTCAGTAGTTATGTTTGATTTGGAAGATACTTTAATGTCCACAGGTCTTGGCATTCCATTTGAAGGGTCCCACATCCCCACATTATTATTCGCAGATGACATTGTTCTTTTAGCAAAAGATGAGAATGGATTACACAGCATCGACCCTCACTAAGCATTGTAATGTGAAACGAATTGAATATGGTTCAACAATATATAAGTCCATGATAGAACCTGCCTTACTTCACAGTTCCCCGATTTGGTCAGCTTTAACAAATGAAAGCAGGAAAACCCTTGAATCTATCCAATATAAGGTTGGGCAAGCAGTGTTTCAGCTAAGGGGCAAGCCAGCCAGTTCTGCATTTTTAGGTGACCTTGGTTGATTCCCAATTGACCTTCTTGCTGAAAACGTTCTATAGATTTCTTTAGGTACCTCAAATTTAAAATACCACCATCATCCCTACCACACAAGATTCTAAATGCACTAATGATCCAATTTACTGAAAACAAAGAAGGCCCGTTGGAGTAAGTCTCAACCATTCATAAGTTATTAAGTGATAGAGGTCTTGATGATGTCATCTTTAGAAATGATGATGATTGGTATGCATCATACCTTAAGATTCGAAAATGTGAAAACGATGTAAAATTCCACTCTGAAGTTTCAAAATATAGTTCACTATCACTTTATTCCAGTTTCAAAAATCATCCATATCTAGAAAATTATCTGAAGAATGACTATGACTTTTACTGGTGCAAACTGAAGTTCATGGCCCGAGCTAACATTTTTGCATTAAAAACCAATTATGAATCTTGGCGCATGAGTGATGGATTTTGTTCATTCTGTGATGCAAAAACGAAGGACACTGTTCAACACAGAATTTTGGAATGTATTCATTTTAATGTATAAGACAGAAATGTAATGAAATTATATTTCCTATTTTATCTCTGCAAGTTCAGAAAAGAAACTTGGTTTTATTTTAGGTGATGATGTATTTTTATTATGGGGGCATGATCATTTTAAAAATGTTGACAAGATTGTAAAAACATCTTTAAGTAAAGTATACAAGCCTAGAGATACAAGTGTGACTTAATCCCACACATCTAATGTTTGGTACTTTGTTTTAAATACTGGAGCATGTTTTAGACACACCTATAATAATTTAATTTTAGTGTGCCGTCGTTTCAAAGATGTAGATTCTAAATAAATAATAAATAAATACGTTTCTGACGGGTTAATTGAATAAGAAAATGTTCTGATTTCTCAAATTTAATTTTGATGCTCCACAGATAAGTCATGTGATCTATATTAAGAATGAGGCTTTGGACTTTCAATGTAAACCAGTGGACTGATTCTACACAGTTTTTGATGAAGTCACCCAGGTAAGGTCTCAATTCTGAATCTGGATTGAGATATTCAGATATAGGCTCATCCTCCTAAGCAGGTGTCCAGAATCCGTACCTCCTTCTAAAGAAAGAAGATATTCTGAATTTGAAGCCCTGTTATCGGAGGATGATATAGGCTCAACAATGAAAAATATTAGATATCATTCGGTTTTATCCTAGAATCAAGGTAAAATAGCGATCTTGACAATTATAATTCTTAGATTTTAACATAGTTGCCTTACATTTAGTCTATATCATGGCTTTAAAACATACAACATAACCTTCTCAAATGACCATAAAAAGTATTTACTTATCACTCGGACACGTCAAGATGTATCCTCCCATTGGAACAATTTCTTCACTTATAGATGTCACTCCACTGTTACATAGTTGGATTTCAGTCGCTGTAGGCGTTCTTTGACGAATGTTCGGATAGCTAAGCAATATGTCAAAATGACTCTGGGCTATAAAAAAGATAATGATGTGCCAGATATTCAAAACAGACATAAAATACTATCTAGTATTTTACTTTTTTTACTAGTCTGCCGACATGTAATCGCAATATACATTCACGTATCCCGGATATAAATTGATTCAAGGTATTACAAGTAAAGCTAATTTTAATTTAAATACCTTTTCTCGAACTTGCGACTATCCCCTTTTCAAAATAGATAATATATCGGTTGTTCAATCCAGATGGGTGACTCCTATACTTTCCTGAAAGTATGAGTAAACTTTAATAATTAAAATCATACAGCATTTAACAGAATGCTTGATCAACGTCAGTCAGCTTCCAAATAATTGAAATGACACGTGTCAATAATTAAGCCCCCTTTTATCCCCTCGACAAAGCAAGTTTACCGGTTGGGCATAAAAAGGGCTTTGAAGGGCTTCGATGATACATCGCTCCTTTATCCTTTGTTCAAACTTTACATATTCAAATGACATCATGTCGTCATATACTGACCAATATTCAAGGTCATGGCTGGCGCAGGTTTTACATATAGGGTCAAAATGAAAATATATCATCGCCTGTCAAATGTCATAACTAGAGCGCGTTACACTCATATATCCCGCGTTAATCAAGTTTTTTTTCTGGCCCTAGTGTCAAAGAAACATTTCTTCCAGATAGACACAGGTTTTGTTGAATCAATGTGTCTTTCTCAGGGGTGAACGTGTAATTGATCGCACCGTGTTTCAATGAAAAGAGGGACAAGAATTGCAAAAATTACTGGGTCTGTACTTACGTTGTAAGGTTGCGAACAATTTTCGTCATTTAAATTTACAAGTGCCTTTCATTTGATTCCCCGTACCCCGAAAGTTTGATTCAATTCTGATACAATTAATATAAAAGAACTACATATAGTAGGCCTACTATATAGCTTAATCTTAATTAATTTCAAAAATACCAGCCGAAACAATGGATTTTTTAAATTTAAATTCAGCCAGGAAAAAAGGAAAATTTCCATTAGAAACTGTGCCCAGATAAAGCCCGGAATCTATTTTATGCAATCCCGATAACCCAGATTTAAAAAATCAGCCGGCAATTTTAAAATTCTTAGGTTGAGAAGTATGCAATATTCTGTTCAATAAGCCAGTCCTAAAAAAACATTGTTACATCAATTCGAATTTCCTTTTGACTGGTGCCAAAAGGTCGTGAGCTTATACCTTTCAAAAGGCAATAGGATTTAATGGAATAGTGTTTTTGGTTTTATTGGTGACTAACTACCTTGATATCGGACAACAGTTTGAACATAGCATACAAACTGTACTCCAAATTGTATACGTCACAACTTCTGCTAAAAAAACTGTTACATGCGCACTTAGTATTTGCAACAAAGTAACTAACATAAACCAACGCATACCTGGTCCAAAATTGAAAGCTTAACACCCCAGTCACATTTCCTACGGCGACCTTGCGGTCTATCATTTCTGCGGCCAGTATCATTTCTACGCTCGCCGTGGAATTTCTACGCTCTCATACTTTTGCAGTCACATTTCCCACGGCAGCCGCACGGTGAATTTTAAATTTCTGTTGATAAATAATACTTTTTTCATTTTATTTACATCGGGACAATTTATAAATGTTATTCATAGTGCTAGGATGTTATATCAAATGAAAAGTGATCGTGATACATTGACAAATAATGATTCAATCTTGTTGAGCCAGTTGATTTCTACGGGGACCTCAGAAATGAACAAATATTATAACTCCGAGTTATAATTTCTACGCCTTCCCTGCGGCCTGTAAAAATCTGCATTCGCCGTACGGAGGCCGCAAGGTGAGCGTAGTTTTTCTACGCTCGCCGCATAAATTCACCGATTTAATTGATCTGCGGTCGACTTGCGGCCGCCGTGCGACAAATGTGACTGGGGTGTTAGTCTACTTGTGTTACGCAACATAACGTGCGTGACGTAACGCACTTGATATAAGGTAACACACCCTTGTACTATTTTGTAATACTTACTGCTACTTTTGAGGCATCTTGGTGCAGCATGGACGTTCACCAAAAGCATTAGAATGAAGCAACATACACGCAAGTCCATATTACTGCCCAATATGTTTTCTCTTGAAGCTCAGCGCTAGAAAAAGATGTTGTAGATACCAAGTAGAATTTTCAAATGAACATTACTTATTATCTATATTTTAAATGAAAAAGGCACGTGCCCAAATGTAATAAATTAAACCAAATGACGTATATTATGCCTGGATAAACCATTAGCATAACAAATGTATGATTTTACAGACAATTATATCATTTATTGCGATATTATGTCTAAAATGCAAATAAGATAACCATGAACATCGAGTTTATGTTTTTTATATGCATCTAAGAAATAAAACGTTAGTTAACATGTTTTATCTCTCAATTTAGCTTTTGTTTAGAAGGAGCTATTTTCTTGAGAACGAGTCGAAGGCAAATATACAAAGCCGGCTTTCAAAGCCGGCTTTTAAAGCCGGCTTCTACAGTACATCAGAAGCCGGCTTCTGGCGTCACCAAGAAGCCGGCTTTTAAAAACCGGCTTCGAATGACTTACAGAAGCCGGCTTCTGCAGTTACAAGAAGCCAGTTTTAAAAGCCAGATTTTCTCTCTCAATCATTTTATTGTGCATTATGAATCTTATTCTCGTATAATTAGCATGGAAATGAGAAAAAAATGAAAATAAGTAAAATTGTAACATATTGCAAGATTTTTTGCAAAAAGTAATTTCAAACCAAAACTATGGGGGAAATTTAAGTAAAAATATCGATGAATTAAATCATGTTCGTTAAATAAGAGTAGATTATGCATTGCATTTCTGTTTGATAAAAACGCATCCCTCATTTTACAAAACTGGCTCCAACTTGGAGCCAGTTTGCAAATCAGCTCGCTCCATCTTACACAAGCTATGTAGGGGCAATCTAGCAACTGGGAATCACGGGATACTGTTTCATGATAATTGTTATGTGCATTATGCATCTTATTCTCGTATAATTTGCATGAAAATGAGAAAAAATACGTAAAATTATTACATATTTCAAGATTTTTTGAAAAAAGTCATTTCAAGCCAAAACTATGACAGTAAATTGAATTCTAAGCACAGATATCGATGAATAAGATCACATTCATTAAATCAGAATAGATTATGCATTGCATTTCCGTTTAATAAAAACGCATCGCTCACTTTTCAAAACTGGCTCCAACTTGGAGCCAGTTTGCAAATCAGCTCGCCCCATATGACAAATGCTATGTAGGTACAATCTGGTAACTGGGAATCACGAAATACTATCTCACGATTATTTTTATGTGCATTATGCATGTTATTCTCGTATAATTTGCATGAAAATTAGAAAAAACTGAAAAATACATAAAATTGTAATATATTTAAAGATGTTTTGCAAAAATTCATTTCAAGCCAAAACTATGAGAGAAAAATCAATTCTAAGTAAAAAATATCGATGAATTAGATCATGTTCACCAAATCAGAACAGATTATGCATTGCATTTCCGTTTAATAAAAACGCACCGCTCATTTTACAACTTGGAGCCAGTTTACAAATCAGCTCGCTCCATCTTACACAAGCTATGTAGGGACAATCTAGCACCTGGGAATCACGGGATACTGTCTCACGATCATTTCTATGTGCATTATGAATCTTATTCTCGTATAATTTGCATGAAAATGAGAAAAAACTGAAAAATACGTAAAATTGTAACTTATTTCAAGATTTTTTGCAAAAAGTCATTTCAAGCCAAAACTATGAGAGAAAATTAATTTCTAAGTGAAAATATCGATGAATTAGATCACGTTCACTAAATCAGAACAGATTATGCATTGCATTTCTGTTTAATAAAAACGCACCGCTCATTTTTCAAAACTGGCTCCATCTTACACAAGCTCTGTAGGGACAATCTAGCAACTGGGAATCACGGGGTACTGTCTCACGATCATTTCTTTGTGCATTATGCATCTTATTCTCGTATAATTTGCATGAAAATGAGAAAAACTGAAAAATACGTAAAATTGTAACTTATTTCAAGATTTTTTGGAAAAAGTCATTTCAAGCCAAGACTATGAGAGAAAATTCATTTTTAAGGTATGAGTACCGTAATCCAACACCAAATTCGAAAATTCATAACAATACTTTGCACATATGGCGTTCGTGACCAACTATAAAACGCTTACCCCCCATAGTGTTATATATCAAAATGTACCTGTTCATATAGGGGTTCGATTGATCTACATCAAATTATAGGGAATCAGGTTACTTTTTGAGATATCAGCGTCCATTTATTGTGACTCGCGTTTGCTACCACTTCCTCAATTCTGATATGATGGGCAAACGCGTAGTAAACATGCTCACGTCGGAACTATTTTTGACCTACATCGCTATTTTCGTAATTCAAATGAAAGTTGAACTCCTCCTCTTTATTTTGATACCAAATAGTGGCATACTAGGTACCCTAGAAGCCAACTATGGCGTTATTTAGAACAATACCACGAGTTTTTAAATGGACTATATAGGGGTCATACCTTTTGGCGGATGAATATGGAACCTCATACCCTAAGTAAAAATATCGATGAATTAGATCACGTTCACTAAATCAGAATAGATTATGCATTGCATTTCCGTTTAATAAAAACGCTGCTCTCATTTTTCAAAACTGGCTCCAACTTGGAGCCAGTTTACAAATCAGCTCGCTCCATCTTACACAAGCTATGTTGGGACAATCTAGCAACTGGGAATCACGGGATACTGTCTCACGATCTTTTCTATGTGTATTATGCATCTTATTCTCGTATAATTTGCATGAAAATGAGAAAAAAAACGAAAAATACGTAAAATTGTAACTTATTTCAAGATTTTTTGCAAAAAGTCATTTCAAGCCAAAACTATGAGAGAAAATTTATTTCTAAGTAAAAATATTGATTTGTATACCGGCTCCTAGTTGGAGCCAGTTTTGAAAAATGAGCGGTGCGTTTTTATAAAACGGAAATGCAATGCATAATCTGTTCTGATAAGTGAACACGATCTAATTCATCGATAATTTTTTACTTAGACTTCAATTTTCTCTTATAGTTTTGACTTGAAATGACTTTTTGCAAAAAATCTTGAATTATGTTATAATTTTACATATTTTTCAGTTTTTCCTTATTTTCATGCAGATAATACGTGAATACGAGAATAAGATGCATAATCCACATCAAAATGATCGGGAGACAGTATCTCGTGATTCCCAGTGGCTAGATTGTCCGTTAATAGCTTGTGTTTAATGGTGCGAGCTGATTTGAAAACTGGCTCCAAATTGGAGCCAGTTTTGAAAAATGATAATTAAACAGAAATACAATGCAAAATATTTTTAAAATTGATGAACGTGATCAAATTCATCGATATCCATGCTTAGAATTCAATTTACCCGTATAGTTTTGCAAAAATATGACAATATAAACTATATTCAAAAGCCATCTTCTGCAGTACGTCAGTAAGTAAGAAGCCAGTTTTAAAAGCCCGCTTTTTGGTGACTCCAGAAGCCGGATTCTGTTGTCCTTCAGAAGCCGGTTTTTAAAAGCCGGCTTCTTGTTGACTGTAGAAGCCGGCTTCTGTAGTACGTAAGAAGCCAGTTTGTAAAAGCCGGCTTCTTGGTGACTCCAGAAGCCGGCTTCTGTAGTACGTAAGAAGCCAGTTTGTAAAAGCGGTTTTTGCCTTCGAGTACTTCTGATTTTCTTAAATGCCTAGGTGCTGAACAGTCTGGATTTTGACTTCTCCGGGGTTGAGTTGTCTTTGGGGTACAAGTTGTTATACACGTAATGATGTAGCTAATTTGGTAGCATATTGTACATACAATCTCCTTGGGTCAAATATTTGGACAATGCAATTGTTTGTTTTGACGCATTTATCTATCTACTCAACTTGCAGATCTACTTGTGAGATCAGTTCCAATCAAGTTTCAAAAAGTCAATATTGGTCAATATCTAGGAGCAGGTAATTTTTACAAGAAAAGACTAGTCTCGGTTTGGAGAACGAAGTTCATCAGTCTACTGCACGTTAAGCCTGCTGTGGACAATTTTGATATTTTTACATGTTGTAGATTTAAATGTCCTCTTTTGAATACTCATAATTTAATTTGGGTGTTATTTCTATTTTCATAAAGAAATTATTTGCGCAGTAGACTGATGAACTTCGTTCTCCAAACCGAGACTTGTCTTTTATTGAATCGGTCTACTGCACTCTACGACTGCTTCGGACAATTGTGACATTTTTACATTTTGTTCATTTAAAGGTCCTCTTTTGATTATTCACAATTTAACCTGGGTGTTATTTTATATTTTTCATAAAAAATTATTAGCACATGATCATCTCTGTATAAGGGGAACATGTTTACGTTGATACACATAACAATCAAAATGGTCACAATGCAAATCCTTAATTGACGTCTATTATTTTCGTTAATGGGCTCATTATATATCCAAATGATACCAGAGGTCTAGCAGGTATAATATTGTTACGTCTAGCTCTATATATAGTTACATTTTTCATTTTCGTTTGGAAAGATCATCGGATGTCGGTGATCTAGCATTTTTGGGAGAAAAAGAAAATTTTCCTCACGACCACGGATCATTTTTTCTAGGTTCTAGTTCTAAGTTTTTTAGATCAAGGCAACTACATGGACATGCGCACTGATCAAGGACAGAAGATACAGGATGTCCTGACATTAACTGGCATGTGAGTAATTTTTGCAATTATTTATTGATTTGTTTGAAACAACCTTCGGCGTAGTCAGATTTATTAACAACTGCACTGGCGTTTCTCGTAGCTTTTAGCTACTGTGGTGTAACGTATAGATCCAGGTTTAAAAGGGTAGGAGGTCCTATCAAATTATGGTCCTACTCTCCATTGATTTTTATGGTGACCTCTTTCCCTTATTATCTTATACACAATCAGGGCCAGTAAGGGCCGTTAAGATAGGGAAATTATGGTCCCCTCTCTTAAAGGCCCTTACTGGCGATGATTGTGGATACGATAATAAGGGAAAGAGTTGTATTCAGGTCACCATATAAATCAATGGAAAGTAGGACCAATGATTAAAGTCACTGATGTTATCCATTGATATTAATTACATTCAGATTCATAACTTCATCCAATAATTTATC